AATAAAAACATATTCTTGCCATAAAATATATATAAAATATTAATGATTAGTAAAGCTTACAGGTACCAATTATGCCCAAATTGGAAGATAACAATACAATATAACAATAATTGAAAGGATATGGTATCCTCATCAATTTATTAATGGATATTAGAACACAGGCAGGAAAGATTTTGAAACCATAAATAAGCAGATCAATAAGTCATAGTTGTAAGTTGCTCAGCAATGTTTGCAAGAAAGGCAATGACAAGTATTTTGCATAGTGGTAGATGAAATAAATTCTAGGCATTTGTGTACTGATGACAATAGAAGATTAAGAATTATTTATAATAAACAAAATAAAAAAGAATGAACAGCAACAGGCTATTGCCATTCCTTTAACTACTGGTACATCCATCGAATTGAATAGCAATCTTGAGTTGGGGTTTTAATTATAACAATATAAATCAAAAGAAATTCTTATTCTCAGCATTTATCTGAGCAAAGTTGGAATATATAGTGGTAGTGCAGTGTCTGCATCTGAAGAAACATGTCAAACAGTTAGAATGAGTGCTACCCATTCTGGAAGATAAAAGTGTATCAGAGAATATAAAAAGAGGGATAAGGTAGGTTTCATAACTACAGCTACAGGTGGAAATGGAGGATAAATTTGCTGTAAAAAGAAAACAAAACATTTGTAGGAGAGATGTGGGAAAATATTTCCTCTCAAAATGAGTTGTGAGCAGTTGGGATAGTAAAAGTTGAGTTAAATATTTGATTTGTTATTTTTATATATATACAAGAGTTTTTACATTCTTGTAAAGCCACTAGCGCTCATGGCGTTTTTGCCAGAGATTGACATTGATCGGGCAGAGATTCTAGATTCCCAAAGAAAAGTGGGGACACCATTAACTTGGACTATAGTGTGTAAATCACAAATTAGTAATCACAAATAAGTAATCATAGCTATGAAAAGAGGCTGAAGGATTTCAATATTCCAAAGCTAATATACAAAAGAAACAAAAAACATAGGTGATCACCATATGCAAAATAGTTGCAGAATTAGAGTTTATAAACAGGAAATTTTGAAATCTGCAACTTTTAAGGACAAGAGGCCATAGATTTAAGCTACAACTTGTAAATAGATTTAAGAATTTGCAAAAGACATTATCTTTTGAAAATGGAGTGGCAGACAGATGGAATAGGTTAATGAGAGGACATTAGATGCCATAACCATTTGAATCTTCAAATTGTCATATGATAAAAATTACAGGGAAGACGGAACACCACAAACATGAACTCTCATAATGAAACTACACTTAAGACAATTATGCACCCCCCCCTCCTCATAACACACACTAGTTTATACATAAAAATATATTAGAAGAGTTTTAATAATATACTGCATCTAAATTATTTATGGAGTGACTATTTGCATGTAAAAGCATAAAGTTGTGTATACTCTACATAAGCAAATTAATACTTAATTTTGTGTGTGAATGTAAATACGCAAATCTTTGTAGTGTGTGTGGTGAATATATTTCAGTAACAGAATACTGGATACACAATCAGTATTTAACATGTTTCCTTTTCCTTTTCTTCTACTGCTTACCTTGATGATCAACTTGTTATCTTGATCGCCACAACCATGACCATTATGACTTAAAACACAACACCACCACCACCACCACCCACCACCCTCACCACTACCGCTACCACTGCGTCTTGTTGGGTGTGTGGGAGCAGTTGGGTCCAGTGGAGCTCGGTGTGGTGGTGCCTTGTCCCCCCTGCTGTTCCTTGTCTCCCTCCTTGTGGGCATGGTGGTGCTCCTCCTGCCTCCATGCACCTCTACCATTGGTAACACTACTTTTCCCTGCTTGTTAAATCCTGCCTGTTTTTCACCCTGGCTGACCTAGCATGTTCTCGTTGTAATATGCCTATAAACCTTTGATGTGTTATGTTAAATGCTCTCGGCAAATTAGGAATATTCAGGTACTTTGTGTATTTTGTCTTGCAGCAAATTAAGTTTATTATTAGCTATTCATATTTAATTTGACTCTTATCATATATTGTTCAACCTACTGTATGCACATTGCATTATTAAATATTAATGTATTTTTATGTTAACTTTCATATATGTAGTTCTGTATTTCAAAGAATGTTATGCATATTACTTGTTAAAAATAAATGCATGTTACGGTATATTGCCATTCATGATTACAGTCTAGTAATATGAAATTCTGGATGTGGTTTGTGGAGTGAGCTATTGTGAAGTTCCAGTTCTGACGTTGTTTGCTACTTTCAGTAAAATGTCTGTGTGTGTGTGTGTGTGTGTGTGTGTCAGTCTTTAAATTCAGATTGCAAAAAAGTTTTGTTAGCATTTGGCAAAGCAATATTAAATAATATATAAGGCTGTTTAAAACCTCTTCACAAGTACTAAACCCATTCAAGCCATAATCAGGATACGTACAAATCCAAATCCTCAGATTGTCACTTTAACATAATGTTATCTTCATGACGGCACTGCATGTTTCCTTTGACAACATCCTTAAAAATATTATAAACATTTCTTCAGATTGCCATATTTTATATCAGTTCAGTATTTGTCTTTTAATTTTTTTTCATATTAAAAACAGCATTTATTGTTTTCAATTTAGCTGGTTTCAAAAATAATAATATGATATGATAGTCAACAATAACAGCATTGGCTCATGTATCAGTTTGGGCATGTCGCTCATCAATTGTTTATTTATTTAACTTTTCAATTAACATTTAAAATATAATGAGCTTCAGTCATACTGGCATGCCTTAGAATTTTGCTCTGTTTCTGTCTTTTGTGTCATTCTGTTGTCAGACAATAAATTTTGAGAAAAATATTATTTGTCATACAATGTTTCAGGCAAGTCTATACCTAAAATAATTAATTAAGAATCACAATATTGAAAATAATGCACAATTTAAAATTATACTATAGTTTATGATTTGTCCAACTCAATAGTTGAGATTTCTATGTTCTAATTTCGTTGTACGTCGGTATATATATACTATGGTCCTCATAGTTGCTATAAGTACTACAAAAACAGGCGGATGAGCTGAATATATAGATGTAAACAGGTGATATATTTGGCTAGTTGTACCTGGACAAGAACTCAAGGAAGACATTAGATATTATTTTATATTTTGTATGTTAGGCCTATTAGAAATTCTGGGTTTATATTCAGGAAGTTAGTTTTTCCAGTTACTTATTGTGTGTGTGTGTGTGTATGTTGTTCCTCCTAGGCACAAATTTAGGGCCAGTGATAAAATGGTCCCAAATTCTTGCCTAGCTCAGGGCTCATAAAATGTTTAATATGGCTGTTGGTGTGAAGTTGGAAAAATTAAAGAATAAACAGTATATGTAAACTCACCTTCATTATAATGGTGCAAGGGAGGCACTGGTGAAAAGCTCAGTCAACCCAGAGTGACCTGTAGATCTTTTTCTTAAAAATTCAAAGCCTTTTCAAGGCCTACTCGTCATCACAGGAACACCAATTTACATTCGCCTAACTGCTAGTTAGCCATGTAGTTGCTACAGTATCTCTATCTGCCACTAGATGGCAGCATTCTCAGCAGACCTTGGTACACTTCTCCAAGCATCGTACATTTTCCTTGAGTGGTTCCCATGGCATTTGGGCAGGCAAGAGACTAGATTCAGATAACTATCTTGATTTTATACTTTGAATCATTTTCAGTGTGCAGCAAGCTCATGCCTATTAGGAATGCTTCTTGTATAGATGGAGACAGGGCTTATATGTATGCATAATATATATATGTTAATATTTTAAACTGACACCTCAGAGTTGCCTGTTTTTTCTTGTTGCATTCAGGCTTCATCAGTGATCTTTCTCTTCTTGAGTTTTCCACTATATTTGCAGTTTCTTGGTACTGTAGTACAGGACATACAACTTTATGGTGTGTATACAGTTGGATACATTTAGTGGATATTTTAGTTGTGGGTGAGGGGATGAGCTGTTTTTGTTTGCAAGTCTTGTCATGATCAAGTTCTTCATCATTGTACAGTATTTAAACAATGTACAGATTTCTTCATTAAATATTTGCAAATTTTAGCATCATGTAGTTAGCTACTCCATATCTAGGTTCGTTTATACAATTTTGGCCTAGATTAAGTCGTACATGAGGCACATCAAAGGTATTTATTTTTGTTATTGTTCACTGATTGTTGTAATATTTCTGAAATAATTTAAGTCAGTGTTAAAATTAAATGAGGATTAAATTGATTAAGAATGCTTAAAAGATTATATTATATATATATATATATATATATATATATATATATATATATATATATATATATATATATATTATTTATTTATTTATATTTAGTCAATTACACTATTGTGGAAATAAACATTTCATTAACTTGGACAGTAGAAGACTGGAACCACCAACCCCATGGTGTGAGGCGGAAGCTCTATCACTGAGCTTTTTGTTATTATATTTGTTATTGTCTGTTGTCTTAAAATATATTTATAATATAAATACCAAATTAAACTGATTTTGCTCTCAGCTAGGCATAAATTAAGTGTTAATTAATTACCTGTATTTTCATATTTTATACTTATGATTTTTTATTATAACTGTAGTTGATGATTTTTAGAAAATACATTTCTCCCTTAAATAATCACTTGATATGAAAATTAAATTGCACTGGGGATTTTTATTATTGTATAGTTGATATAGCTATTATAAGGTATAACTGTTTAAATGTAATCAATTAAGTTAGTCTGCTGGATAACCATGTTTATTTAGTATTGTTTTCTTTCATACTTAGCCCAATAGATTTGTTTTAGATCCTTCAGTTGGCCATAACAAATCTTTAGTTTTAATATATGCTCTTTGTAGTTTGTATTGTCATATTATATCATGGCTAAAACTTTGTAAAATGCAGTATTGACTTCATGTTATGGTTTGAAATAATATGTCTATATTTACCTATATCTGTTTTTGTTTCTCAAACCTAGGAGGACGACCTCGTGTTATCTTGGACGTGGATCGTAAAGTTCTTCAAGTAAGAGTTGGGGCACCATTAGACGTTCGTTGCTTTGCTGAGGGAAGCCCATTTCTTCAGATTATTTGGACTCGTGGTCCAAACAGAGATCTTCCTGTCAATGTAAGTTCTTTTTGAGTTTTATATCCTTAAATGCCAGTAAATTAAATATAATTCTAATCCTGTCAGTACTGGGCTCTCAAAATTTTAAGAAAAATGGAGGATTGTATAGCCTAATTTTTATTTAGTAGAGGTCATAGAACACTATATAATTAAGTGAAAGATGAGAGAAGTTGTAAAGTGAAGAAAGTACAGTTGAAGAAACAGGTTGAGTTATTAGTTAGAACTATTTTAGAAATACTGCAAAGGGAATGTAGAAAGAAAGAAAAGGGGGCTGGAGGTCATATTGAACCTGAGAAGGACAGGGAGCTGGAGGTCATATTGAACCTGAGAATGACAGGCAGCTGGATGTCATATTGAACCTGAGAATGACAGGGAGCTGGATGTCATATTGAACCTGAGAATGACAGGGAACTGGAGGTCATATTGAACCTGAGAAAGACAGGGAACTGAAGGTCATATTGAACCTGAGAAAGACAGGGAACTGGAGGTCATATTGAACCTGAAAAAGTAATGAAACTGGTGTGAAGATCTGCACATATCAACCATGAAGAAAGTAGAGGGTTTAAGAGAAAGGAACTGTAGTAAGAAGCAGAATGTCCATGAGGTACATGACAGTTTAAAGGTAGTAGAGGCAGAAGGGAAATGCTTCTGGAAATTGGGTACTGTTGGATATGAGGTGCTAATATACTATGTAGTTGACTGAACTGCAGTTGTGCCAGTAGGTTTCTTATTCTCATATTCAACATAGAAAAAGATGCCAACTATAGCACTCTTATCATCTATCACAGATGTCATTAGAATTTGTATGGGAGTAATATCTGTAATATACATTGGAAACCTTGAAACAAATGTAAATCAAGGATTTCAGAGGAGACAATATGATGCTCAGTTAGGAAAGGTTCCTGATCCTGTGCTATGGACAAAACAAATTAAAACAGGAAACATGTATAAAACCATACTATAATGGTTAACCATGCTATAAAATGGAAAGAAATGGTAAAAGTAATGAAAAGGTAAAAGGTGAGTAATTATATTAGAAGACTTTTCTAGGGGAGCTCCTTGTGGCTCCCTCAAACCTCTGAAGCCACATTTGACAGGACCTGGGGCAGAGCCCATGTCTGTACTTCCTGCCCAGGATAGAAAAGAGAAAAGTCCAAAAGAGAGACTTCAAAAGAAAGGGAGTTGGCTGCAGAAAAACCATGAACCCTTCGTGGGGTAAAGCCTCCGCAATTGATACGGAATAGGTAGCAAATTGTGGGGCCTCACTCAACGACATTTCCTCTGCCTGGGCTTTTCCCTGCTGGTCCACCATGAGGCAAAAAAATTCATCCTAGCTTGTTCGGGAGCTTATTTGAGTGGGGAGGCACCGACTTCCATCCCCAGGATGGTAATGGGTTCTTGGGGATGCGGCCACCTCTCGTTAGGCCACCCCGGCTGATCTGTCTAAACTCCCCTGTTTTGCGGTCCAAATTCTTGGTAATCACTTAGTAATCACTTAAGCCTCGAGAGAGTGGGGTTTGTATGTGTGGGGTGAGCACCCTCACCGAAACGTAGCAGAGACCAGGCGGTCCTTAAGGGACTTGTTGCATCTCCATGCTATCATCGGAGGTTCTTGTGGGAAGTGTGCCCATGTTGAGTGCTCGCCATATGTTTCTTCTAACCAGATCCAAATGGTTTGGAGTGCCTCCTGTAGTGGTCTTGACAGGCCTGCGAAAAAAGTTGCAGGGAGGATGCTCCTGTTTTGGTGGTCTCGTTGCGTCTGTTTAAGTAGTTGCTTCCTGGTTCGTTCCTGCAGGCTTCTTGCTGCGTGTTGGAGGACTTCTTGATATCCTCTGTCGCGGAGCATTACCCAGAGGTCCTGGAGCTGGGTCTGTAGGATCCTGTCATCATTGTTTATTGGTTTTTGGCGGAGGCCCAGGGAGAACGGTAGTGTGTTCTTGAGTGGTTCCGGGTGGCACGAGTCATACCTGAGATACATGTGCAGGTTTGTTGGTTTGTAGTAGGCTCTCGTGTATAGGAGTCTACTTGCTGGGTCTATCCAGACCGTGGTATCCAGGAAATTGAATTCTTCCTCGTGCCTCTCTATCGTGAACCATAAGTTTGGGTGAACCGTGTTTGCCCATGCGTGGAAGATGTTTAGGGCCTGGGAGGGACCCAGCATTATGCCAAAGATGTCGTCAATGTATCTAAAGTAGATGGGGGGGGGGGAGGTTGTTGGGGTAACCACTATGTTGTACCTCAAATACTTGGTGCACAAAGATTTCTTCTATAGCGACGCTGCTGGATGTCCCTATTGCTGTCCCCTTCACCTGCCTATACGTTGCGTTGTTAAAAGTTAGGATGGTATCCCGCATCATATGGAGTATAGCTTCTACCAGTAGGGCTTGCGAGGGAGGATGCCTGACACCTGCATCCCGTAGGTCCCGTCTGATTCTGTGTATGTTGGCGGTGAAGAAATCAGCTTCCAGATTTGCTGCTTTTCTTTAGGGGATACTAGGGTATAGAGAGACAATATCCAGAGAGAAAAGGGTAGCCTCGAGTGGGACGGTGTCCCATCTCGTTGTTGGTGGCTTCAAGTTTCAGTAGGAAGTCCGTAGTGGCTTAGGACGATTAGACGTTCGTCCAGGAGGCATAGGAGAGGGTTTCAAGAGGGCTGTGCAGATCCAGTCTATGGGACGGGTCGGTGCTCTACATCCACTGAGTACTGGCCAAGATCCAGTGATGGGGTCCATGCCTTTGTAGATTTTTGGGAGCAGGTATAAGTGGGGGAGTTCAGAGTTGAAACTCATGAAGAAATCCCTTGCTGCAGGTCTGAAAAGGCCTCCCTGGCCACCGTTCCTATGGAGGTCCAAGACCAGGATCTGGTTTAAAGTTTCAAGTGTGGGGACAAATTGTGGGGCCACACAATTTGCCACATCCCATGCTAAACCCTGCCCCAACCTGGAAACTCTCAGATGCTTTGCGACCAGAAGCAAGAAAAGGGAAGATCAAAATGAGGGCAATCCCCGCACAAAGGGGATACTCTTTGGTACTGGTGGTAGATTTGTACATGTGCAGCCTTTCTCCGTCCTGGCGACGGTCGAGACGGCTGCTTTCCGGAGGGGTTCTTGGGTTATTGATGCTTGATTGGTTTGGCCAGGGGTGCGTCCTGTGTTGTCCGGTTGTGCTTTTTGCCGTTGCTTGCGTATCGTGTCTGGGGATGTGCTGTGGTTGATCCGGTTCCCCTCGTTCCCTGTTTTCAAGGCTCGGGTCTCCCAGGTCGTCCCCAGAGTTTTTCATTCTTCCAGCCTGCGGTCTGTCTTTGTGCCCGTGCTGTTCAGACATTTGCAGCTTTTGCTGCTGTGTTGGTGACGTCTAGGGCTCATTTTGGGCGCAGGGATTTGAGGGTCACACAGGTTCTTGGCCGCCCATTCTTTATGCGCGTCTGCTCCTGTGCGTTCTTGTTGCCTTGGGTCGCAGGTTGCAACCTGTTGTCTCGGCTTCGCGTTGCAGAGTTTGTGGCGGCCGCCTCCCGGGTTAGCCCTTTCTTTTCCTTCTCTTTGGGAATGAAGCTCCAGGGAGCCATAGGGGCTCCCCACAGAAAACCAGCGTTGAATGTAATGAAACGCCATTTTCTGGGTGAGCCCCGGAGGCTCCCTAGCAACCCTGCCTCCCACCGGTAGGTGGTTTTTTCGCGTTGGTTGAAGCTTAGCTTCCGAACTGAAGCTTGGCAGCCGGCGCGGTAGGTCCGGGGCTTCCCCCTCCCCATCTCGGGGTGGGGAGGGCTGCACGGACGATCGGGGCGGCAGTAAAGTGTGATGTTTGCTTGTTTCCTTGTGATTGTAGGGAGTTTCTACCTCTCTGTTCATTTTTTTGTTTTAGTTTTTTACCATGTGGGGTTTGTTTTGTTATGCCTACCTTTCTGGGTGCCTAACCCCGGTCGATGGCAGATAAGGAAAACCCCAACCACAAAGGGGTTTTCCAGGGCCATTGCTCCCTGAAACCTCTCCGAAGGGGCCAGGTTCTGGTGCTGTTCCCTGGTAGGTCTGAACTCCTTAGCTAATGTCCCAGTCTAATATAACATACATTAGCCCGATAAGCTCCAGAGAGCCTCCGGGGCTCACCCAGAAAATGGCGTTTCATTACATTCAACGCTGGTTTTTTGGGTGCTTCAACGTATCTGGGTTGTGGACATGTAATTATGACTTGTCATTGTACTTTGTGAAGTGATTGACAGTTTTATTGACAGAATCTTTACCCCTGCTCAGCCCATAACTTGGATTTCACATGCTATGTACACTTATTTTAGATGAATTGTTTTAATTTGATGTTAAATTTGACTGATTTAGAAGTGTCTTATAAGGATTATCATCATTATTCATCGATTCATCATCATTCATCTATTCCACAGGTGTTCCAGCAGAACGGATTGCTCTCATTTCGCAGTGCTCAACTATCTGACTCGGGAGAATATTACTGTACAGCAACAAATAATCAAGGAACCGATTATGATCGAATCATCATTAATGTAGTCCAAGGTGATGGTGATCACAGACCTATAATTACTGAAAGGCCTACTGCTCCTACTCAACTGATTATTGTGAGGGTAAGTTTTAGCATAATTGTGATTCTATTTAAAGACATTTTCTGGGGAAAACTAAAAAGTTGGAGTGGTCAGATGAAAAGAATGGGGAAGTTAATGGAGTGTGAAGAAGATTTTTATCCGTAAGTTGTAAAATACCGATGTAATAAAAAAGGGTGTTCTTGGAAGACCTTTCCCATCGGGGAAGCTCCCTGATGCTGCAACCTGGCAGTGCCTAGGATGAGTGAGGGGCAAGTGATGAATGAGGAAAAGGAAAATTATGAGGGATGAAGGTAAAGTTATAAGTGTGGGAGGGGAAGAGGTCAATGGTGAAGGGAAAGTGATGGCACGAAAAATGGAGGGATGGAAAGTGTTGTGATGGAGGGGAAAAATGAGGACGGAGATCAGGGATGGCATTTCATTACATTCATCGCTGGTTAGCTGTTTATTTCAATCTTACCTTACAAAGCGATCTTTTCATGAATAGCTGAATTTCTGACCAGAATACCAGAATCTCTTCCAGAATACCTGAATCTCTTCCAGAATACCTTACAAAGTGATCTTTTGAAAACTACCTTACAAATTGATCTTCTCCTATAATCTTTTCAAGACTATCTTACACTTCACAAGCTTGGCTACATACCACCTACAGGTACTAAAGCCATGGGTCTATTTGCGTGTGCTATTTTCAAACACACAGAACGAAGAAACAGGAGGCAAAAATCTGTTTGTGCCCGGTGCATCGAGTGCGAATTCTCGGTGTATAATGGACTGCTTCTTTGATTATCACTCACTTCCGAAGTACTGAGTATGTTATACAGTGTGTGACTGTATAAATAGTGTGTGAAAGTGTACATATTGTAAATATATTGAATATTGAACAAGTAATACTGTGCCAATGAACAATTGTTGTGGACACATTACTGACACATGTATCACAGTTCTTTGGTACATTTTGAATGTTCTACTGTATACATACTGTAAAGGACACCAATGTCTATCATATACAATAAAAGACACTAATTATAAAGTATTGAAAATGCATAGAAAATATAAAGAGTAATATATTTATGGCAACTCGCGAGGCTTCACTGGCCTGGGCGACCACCTCTGGGAACTTCACGCATAGGCAATCAGCCTGTGATGACATCACGCACCACTTTGTCCACATCCCCATGACCAAAGTAAATAGATTTTTTTCTTTTTACATGTACTTGTTCAGGGAAGGAAATTTAACATTTTACAAAGAAAAAATTTGTTTGTGAACATCTGATTTTCTGCGCACAACCAGAATTTCACTATAAATGCGGTACATCACAGTGGTTAAGCATGCCAAAACTAGGAGACTGGAGGTGGTAAACATGCCAAAACTAGAAGATAAAAGAAAAAGAGGAGATATGATCACTTTCAAAATACTAAAAAAAATCAACCAAATTGACAAAGAGGAATTCCAGAAACCAGCAACTTCATGAACAAGAGGACACAGATTCAAACCAAGGAAACAAAGGTGCCTAAAAAATACTAGAAAGTTTTCTTTTGCAAACAGAGTGGTAGACGGTTGGAACAAGTTAAGTGAGAAGGTGGAGGAGGTCAGAACCGTCAGTACTGTGTTTCAAACTACTGTATTATACGACAAAGAATACTGGGAAGATGGGATACCATGAGCGTAGCTCTCATCCTGTAACTACACTTAGGTAATTACACACACACACACACACATATATATACTGTACATACGTACGTACATACATACATACATACATACATACATACATACATACATACATACATACATACATACATACGACATCTTGTCTTTCTGGGCCTTTGAGAGAACTGTCATTATGGTGGATTGAGTAAATTAATGGAAGGTCTAGGAAGCCTTTCTTTCTTCCAAGAGGTTTCTTTTGAATACTCATAAATGTCACATTATATTGACGTGAAATCCAAACATGCTTTAGTTTGGACAAACAATATGGTTAGTATTGAAATTTTGCAATGAAGCCTTATAGCCAAAAAATTTTGTTAAAATATTTTTTTTTTTGTTTCATTATATATGGTTTAATATATATAATTTTTCTTTACGAAAGAATATTCAGTAGGCCAGTACTGTATTGTTTGTATTGTAAGATAGATGTATTGTTTGTATTGTAAGATAGATGTATTGTTTGTATTGTAAGATAGACCTAGCATAGGGACTTTGAATACCTTCTCTTATCAATTACAATCAAAACATACATACATACATACAGTAGTACTCTAACAGACATAAACCTTATACGTAAAGATAAATGGAGAATATATACTTTCTGTCTGTATACATTTTGCATTAAGTATTGGAATACAATGAGGTATATTGTGTGTGCTTTGCCTGCGTATTTGTCATGGTCTGAGATCAATGCTCTCTTGGTGAAATGCAATCATTTATTATTGTTAGTACTGTATTATGATACTCTGTGTTTTTACAGGTTTCAAATGAAATGGTACAAGCTCGATCAGGAGAAACTGTACGTGTGAGCTGTTCTGCTGGTAGCCCAGGACAATTAAGAATAGAATGGAGTCGAGTACAAGGGTCCCTTCCTTCAGTAAGTGATAACTTTTGTTGCCTTTTTAATTCATAAAAAATCCAAAATGAGATAAAATGAAAGTGATGAAGCCATTGTAGACATTGTGTTTATAAAGAGATAAATACTTTTTAGCTCTGAATTAGATATCACAACAAAAGTATTTAATTAGGTTTCTGGGGGGATCCCCATCAGGTCCCTGGAGCTATCCAGGCTGATATGTATCTATTAGCTTACTGGCATCAGTCAACGTGCATGGAGTTCTTGCCTACCGGGAACCATGAGCCAGATCCTGGCCTCCTCAGAGAGGCACGAGGAGCAATGGCCTTTAGAAACCCACGTATGTGGTTGGGAGCATTCTATATCTGCCATCGACCAGGTCTGGCACCCAGAAAGGTAGGCGCTCCAAAACAAACCCTTCTTCTGGTGAAAATATTGCTACCGAAAGCTGAACGAGTGAACAGAACTCCCCAAAAGAAAATTAGCAAACGAGCATGATGTCATAACGTTGCCGCGCCGTTGTCTGCCCCCCCCCTCCTCCCCGGGAGGGAAGAGGAGCCCCAGATCCTTGTGCTGGCAATCCAACCGTCAGTTCCTGGCTGATGTGATACTGGCAGGTCATGTGCCTCTGGCTCCTACTTTGGTTTCAGTTTCTGTGCTTTGTGGCGTGGGCTGTTCCTACAGGTGGTGTGAGCCAGGAGTAATCTCACTTCTGTGTTTATAGGAGTAATATTTTGCAGTTCTCGGGCTGCATGTGCCTAGGGTTTCCTTCCCTAGGTGCCCTGTAATTACTGCCATTGGGGCTTGGGGCTACCTTCCACAAGTTGCCTTGGGATTTACCTCCGCTGTGTTTTTTACTGCTCGGTACTAGGCTGCCCGTGGAGTCAGCTGGGGTTTCTGTTGCCCTTGTTTGCCTCTGGGTAGAAGGGAGTTTTTGTCACTGGTAGGGGCGCAGCATACTGCACAGCTAGTTATCACCTATTATAGCGGCCGGCTCTATTCTGCCTAGGTACATTGTTCTCTTGCAGGGTTTCCTTTTGTTTTTCTGCCTGGTGGGGGGGGGGGTCTGGCTTTGGTTGGTTGCCCCCTATCTATCTTTCGGGGTCTTTAGATAGACATTTCTGTATTCTTGGTGGTACCCCTTGCTAGGGGGCCCCCGTGAGTGGACACGCCCCGGTGGGTTCGGCTTTTAGAAGTTTGCTTGGTAGTTCTGGGCACCGGTTCGCAGTCCCCTGCCTGGGCTTCCCTTAGCATATTACCAGGGCTAAGGGCTCTGAAAAACCCCGCGGGGCTCCGTGGTCCGATGGATGTGACCCTTGAGTTCCCTCTCGCTTCGTACAGGGTTCATTTGTTTCAGGGTGACATTCACAGGTTGTTCCTCTGCCGTAGTGCTTGTAAGGTCAGTGATTATTTTCACTTGGAGCCGTGTGACATTTGCTGCTTGTTTGGCTCCAGTTCACCCAAGCTACTGATCATGATATGAGGGGTGCAGGCAGCAGCTGCATTGCATGCTAGGTTCAGGTTGCTGCAACTTAGATAGTTTGGTCATTTCGCCGGATGCCCCGAGACTGCCCCGTTTTGGTTTTAGGGACCCGGACTTGGGGGTGGGTGTTGCTTTGGCTTTGGTTTCGTCAGCCCCACCATGTCCTTTCCCTTCTGTTGATCATCCCATTCCTCCCCCCCCCCCCATGCTTCTGGCTCCGAAACGTCTGGTGGTTTCCGAGTCAGGGCAGGGGTCTCGTTGGTGTTGAGACTCAGATGGTCTTGAGGGAGTCCCCTTCTGGGATAGTGACGGAGGCATTTGAGCCTGGTCCTCCAGCTGGAGCTTCTGGGTGTGACCAGTGGGCCCCCCTTCATTCCTGCTTTTTTGCCTGCTTCTGCTCTTTCTTTAGAGGCGGGGGGTTTGGAGGACGGCTCGGCCCCGGATCCTCCAAACGCTGGGTGAGGGAGGAGGTAGAATTGGAGGGCCTTGGGCCCCTGTTGTACTCTGCCTGGGTTTTTGTACTCTCTGAGCGGGGGTTCTCTTTTGCTCCCTCCTCGTACGAATTGGATTTGGTATTCTAACCCTCGCGGATTCGGTTCTGAGACCCCGTTGGTTCTTCGGTTCCATTCTTCCTGAGGTTTTCAGCTTCCAGCATCCCCGTCCCATGTGGTGCGGGAAGCCCTTGTGGCTTACCTCCTTCGCGACCCAGATTATGCTTTCATGATGGATCTGCGTTCCTTTGTAATTACCTAACTGTAATTACCTAAGTGTAGTTACAGGATGAGAACTATGCTCGTGGTGTCCCATCTTCCTAGCACTCTTTGTCGTATAATGCTTTGAAACTACTGACGGTTTTGGCTTCCACCACCTTCTCACTTAACTTGTTCCAGCTGTCTACCACTCTGTTTGCGAAAGTGAATTTTCTTACATTTTTTGGCATCTTTGTTTAGTTAGTTTAAATCTATGACCTCTTGTTCTTGAAGTTCCAGGTCTCAGGAAATCTTCCCTATTAATTTTATCAATTCCTGGTACTATTTTGTACATAGGGATTCATATCACCTCTTTTTTTTATATATTCTAGTTTTGGCATATTTAATGCCTCTAACCTCTCCTCATAGTGCATGCCCTTCAGTTCTGGGAGCCACTTAGTAGCATGTCTTTGCACCTTTTCCAGTTTGTTGAAGTGCTTCTTAAGATATGGCCACAATACAACCGCTGCATATTCTTTGCTTTGGCCTAACAAAAGTCGTGAACAATTTTTCTAGTATTGCGCCATCCATGTATTTAAAAGCAATTCTGAAGTTAGAAAGCGTAGCATAGGTTCCTTGCACAACGTTCTTTATGTGGTCCTTAGGTGATAGATTTTTATCTAGAACCACTCCTAGATATCTTTCTTTATCAGAAGTCTTTAAAGATTTTCCACATAATTTATAGGTTGTGTGGGGTCTATGTTCTCCTATTCCACATTCCATGACATGGCATTCATGCACATTCAATTCCATTTGCCAAGTGGGGCTCCATATTCTGTACTTATTTTGTCCAGGTCTTCTTGAAGGGCATTACAATTATCTGTTTCTTATTTTTTAGTTTTTTACCATGCGGGGTTTGTTTTGTTATGCCTACCTTTCTGGGTGCAAACCCCGGTCGATGGCAGATAAGGAAAACCCCAACCACAACAGGGTTTTCCAGGGCCATTGCTCCCTGAAACCTCTCTGAAAGGGCCAGGTTCTTGTGCTGGTCCCTGGTAGGTCTGAACTCATTAGCTAATGTCCCAGTCTAATATAACATTCATTAGCCCAATAAGCTCCAGGGAGCCTCCGGGGCTCACCCAGAAAATGGCGTTTCATTACATTCAATGCTGGTTTTTTGACATCCAGCCTCAGAACTAGGGTGTGGATCGCTGGTGGGGTAGGTCTGGGGCTCCCCCTTACTCCTCCCGGGAAGAGGGGGCTGCGCAGACAGCGGCGCGACGACAAATGACGTCATACTAGTTTGCTCGTTTTTGTCTTGGGAGTTCTATCCACTCGTTTGCCTTTTGGCTGCAATTTTCGCCAGAATAGGGGTTTGTTTTGGGACGCCTACCTTTCTGGGTGCCTAACCCGGTTGATGGCAGACATAGAATGCTTCCAACCACACGGGGGTTTCTATAGGCCATTGCTCCCCTTGCCTCTCTGAGGGGCCCAGGTTCTGGCTCATGGTCCCCGGTAGGCCCATAAGAACTCCGTACACATGACTGATGCCAAAGTCTGACATTAGCATGGTAAGCTCCGGGGAGCCTCTGGGACTCGCCCAGAAAATGGTGTTTCATTACATTCAACGCTGTTTTTTTTTTTCAATTTTATTGTAATTATTCTACTTAAAATTATCTGTACCTGTAAAGAAAAGCTGTAAAATACCTGTAAACATTTTTTATCAATTTTACTGGTAATTTATCAATTTTTTTTTATTAGTTTAAGGACTTGCCCAAAAAGCTATGCGTGTTAGTGGGTTTACAAGAATGTTAATTCAACTTATTTTCTATATTCTCTGTTAACCCCCAATGTAACTTCTTGTATTTAAATAAATAAATAAATAAATAAATAGAAGTTGACTATAACCTCAGATTGCCTATAAGCATCCTGAGAACAATAGCACACCAAGAACTTTGAGAAAACCTTGTAGATCTGAGGCAAAATGAAATCTACATTAGCAATTCCATCTGTCACCATACTGTCATGCAAGAAGAGCCACATGTCTGATTCTTCCAATAAAATTAGCAGACTCCTAGATATTACTACTGCTCAGCATAGACTTAGTCATAAGTTGCTTAGTCAAATTGCTTACTAATGTAGACCTGACCAAATATAAATTGTGTCAGCAAAGTTATTCGCACACCTGCATCTCTGTGTTGAAGGAGTTCGAAAAGAAAAATGAATTTAGAGACAGATCTTTAACAAATGTTCAAGAAATCTATGAGTATTTCTTTCAAAATGCTCTTCTGCCAGACATTTTTGCCAAATATTTACAGTTTGCTAACTGTAGGTAGTAAATGTAGGTGATTGCAACACTTTCACTGCCTCTCACCAGATGGGGGTGGTGTGCGTAATTAGTAAATTAAATTATGAAACTAGCACACTGCTTAGTTGCTTAGTTGTTTGTAAGTTACTTAGCTTAGAGACTGTACCTGTAATCGTTTTTGAACTCATTGTCATTATATACATTAAACTGTGTAACTAACTTATCAAGAATTAACCTGCTTAGCAAAATGAATTTTGGGGTTGTATTCCTGAGCTGTTGTGATTGTGTGTAACCTTTTTCTCTACTACTGCCCACAGGATGGGCATGGGATGCATAATGAATAACCTAAACTACAATATTTGCATAAATAATATATTTTGTGCATAAACTTTATTCTCATGTAACTTAATAATAGTTGAAATATGTTAGTGGTATATATGTTAATAAATTAATATATGATTTGAAAATTTACAGCAAGCAGTAACTGAAGGTGGTGAGCTACAAATTCCAAATGCCCGGCCAGTTGACAGTGGTATATATGTATGCCGTATTACTGATGAAAGAACTCAAATTTTCGAAGAATCTAGCACCCGTATCGTCATTACTCAGTTTGTGTAAGTTTTATGGACTTGTTGATATACTTCCAATTTGCTTCTTTTCCTGTTCCCTCTAAGAGCTTTACTTTATCTTCATTTTCACTTTCTTCTTCCTTTGGTGCTTACAGTCACAACATTTTAATCACATGCACCTTTCTCTTGTGTATACCGTCTGCAGTTTTATCACCAATGGTTATTCTCTTTACATATATCCATTGTTAATATTAGTCTTTCCAGTTTCATGAGGTGTGGAAGCACTTAACTGAAAAGGATTGAAAAACCTTGTAAGAAAAGAAGGCTAAAATCAATATAAACAGCACTTTACCTAAATAAACTAAGAAAATAACACTTTTAAAGTCATTATAAATAAAATAGTAAGAAGCTTGAATTATCAACATTGGCAACAAAAATTGAAAAAACTCAAAATATGGTAAAAGGTGTTTATAAATTTGAAAATGTGGCAACAGTTTAATCCACAAAATATGCCATTTAAGATCTATATGGTATATTTTTCCATTTCCTTTTGGGATGCAATGCTGAAACTTGGCCTGGAGGTTCATCTTATAGGTTAGATTTTTAAACAAATTTGCATAAGAATTGATTTTCTGTGGAGAGCCCCTTTGGCTTCCCTGAGCTATACTGGTCTGATGTGTATATATTAGACCATGGCAACAGTCAATCGATGGAGTTCTAGCCTACTGAGGATCATGAGCCAGAACCTGATTCCCTCACAGAGGCATGAGGAGCAATGGCCTATAGACACCTCCATGTAGTTGAAAGCAGTCTGTTTATCCCATCTTCCAAGTCAGGCACCCAGAAAGATAGGAATCCCAAAACAAACTACAGGTGGTTAAAAATTGCAAACTGAAAGCTGAATGAGCAAGCAGAACTCCCCAATCAGAAAACAATCATGCCGTCTCTGCAGCCGCCGCGCTTCTGTCTGCTCAGCTCCTCCCTCCCCGGGAGGGGGTAGGGGGTGGCCCAGACCTTGCTCAGTCCTTTTTCCTCTCTCCTTGTATTCACTCGCTTCATTGTCAGCTGATAGAGAATCCAGTGCATGTTTTATTTTCTCAAAAAACCCATACAGAGAATAAACAGCACCAAAATGTGGTGACTATCGTGTATCAGACAGACGCTAGACCACAAAATCTTTTCTTAAAGATGATGTCAATACATTCCAGCGATGAGTAAAACCTGCAAAAAATGAATACAGATTCTGAACAAAGTCATAGAATTTGACGATCTGTAGACAACACTACTCCCACCAAGTTCAGGCTGTGTCCAGCACAGGAGATATAGATGGCAAACTCATTGAATTAATGAATCCATGCTTGCCATCCAGTATATCATCCAGACATATTTGAGGCATTATCCTATGACTCACCACGGCAGTTTAATAATGGAATTTTGTTCTCAGTAAGACAATCCACGACAGTGTCTGTTAGATCCTTTGCTCCATGAGAAAAGATGGGGATGAACATCAAGAAACGTTCCACAGGCTCTCAGTCTTTAATGTATCGGACAGTAAATGTCCATTGATCTGTGTGTGAGATGTCTGGAGTGGAATCTACAATTACTGAATAATGCTTTGACTTTTTTACTACTTCAAGAATAGTACAAAGAACCTGTTGTCCCATTAATTCAATAAATTCCTCACAAATATATGCAGATAAATATGACAGATTCCCTTTTCCAGGATTTCCATACATTTTGAGATGTTCTTCCAAGAAAAGGCAAAATTCACTCAACAGCTCTTGTATACCTAAATAGTTGTCATTTTTTGCTGATCTAATAATCTGATTTTCCTCCATGAAATGGCAAACCTCATATCAAATCTGCTGTCATGGACCTTTGATGTTCTTCTCCATTTTCATATTCTACAATAACATTGCTGTGCTTTGTCATTGAACCCCAGTGTAGCAAAGGGAGATTCTTTCTTGGACAATAGGCAAATACAAAGCAGTACAAACAACTTTGGGATAGTAAATAGAGTAGCCATTCACGTTTTACATACTCGTCAATCTGCAGTTCACGTTAGAACACATAGTTTGATAAATACATTGCCTTCACATTCTCTACTCTAGCTGTTTTATACACTCTGTATGAGTTTGAAAGATTGATAATTGTGATTCTGACATAATGAGGGCCCACTACGAATCCAGTAATTTATTGTGTTAGTATCATTAATGTTTCATAATGTTCCATAGCCCTGGATCTGTCTCTTGGATTGCAAACTCCTTTACTGTTACAGATTAGAATATTTCCTCTTGTAAAATGTCATCATCAGCAGCAACAGGCAATGATAGTATGTCTGGTGAAACTGGATGATTGGTAGCAGGAATGGATGTAGATGTGGATGCTATATCTGAAGGAACAGTGCTAGTGGCTGACATTGCAGGAGTGGATGCTGATGTGGATGCTATATCTGAAAGAATGGTATGAGTGGCTGTCATTGCATCTGTGTTGAGTCATGGTGTAAATTTTCTGTTTTTCTATTTTCTCCTTCTCCTCTGCAGCTCTCTTCCTCTTCTGTGTCCACTCAAAACAATTACGTTTCATTTTTGCTGAAAGGGTTATTCACCTGGAAATATATATATCTTAAATATTTAGTATTTAGTCCCACACCAGGATGTAGGGTTATATTATATATATTATATAAGTGCGCTTGCAACAAGACCAAAATATTTAAACATTCTGCTTCCATAATGAACATGTCCTATGCTAGTGGGGGCCCCCGGGCAAGTGCCCATCAGACCCACTCGGTAAGATGGCTTTGCATCTAATCTAATTATTATCACAACATAAACTATCTTTCTAATGTTTCAACACTTTCATAGGGCATGGATTATGAATTATCATTTTAGTAATGATGTTTTTAGTGAAGCTTCAGTTTTGTGTCTAAATTGCGCTATAACAAGTGTAAGTTGCATATGTTTAAGAGATCTCTTCTTTAAAAGTTAAATGTAATAACTATAATTTTTGTTTATTTCAGCAACTTGCCAACTGTGCAGATTCAACCAGACCGACAGACAATTAATCAGGGCACAGATGCAGAACTTCGTTGCGTTGTTACTGGTGATCCACCTCCAGTTATTACGTGGTCTAAGGTAATGTACATTTGTTAAAATTTTCAAGTGTTCATGTACATTATTATTATTATCATTATAATCGGATTTCTATCACAGAAATCTAGATTTATGTTATTAGTGATGATAATACAGTATTTCCATGTGTGTGGAATTTAAGATGAGATTTAAGGCAAAGTGATACATCTTATACCAGGGATAGATTAAGTTGGGTGTGGATGGGACAGTTGTCTGGGCCCAAAGTTTAGAAGGGGCATGTGCAAGGTCAGCTTAAGGGTAATGCTGTTCTTCCTAATGGTTTAAATTCTCTCTTGTTAACTTTAAAGTTAGCCCTGAAGTTAGTAAGATTTTAAACTCAAGAAGCAGAGTTAAATATCTTTCTATTATGATTTAATAGTTTATCCACAAGCATAATACCAATTTACTCATGGAGTTTAATGACTGGAAATATACAAATGGAAGAATTTCAGCTTTTATAAAACAGCCAGCAGTGTAGATAAGCATGAGTGAAATGTCACTAATATGCACTAACCTAGAGAAACGAAGACTCCCACAGAGGGAATCCATTTGTGGGAGTCAATAACACTATCTTACCTGACCTTGCAATGATTTTGGAGCTCAACGTCTCTGTGGGTCAGTCCCCAACCAGGCCTTCTGGTTGCTGGACTGGTCAACCAAGCTGTTGGATGCAGCTGCTCGCAGCCTGATGTATTAATCACAGCCTGGTTGACCATGGTCACATTTGTCGAAAGCGTTTGTGAAATCTGTTTATATTACATCAGTGTTTGGTTTTTCTTCCATGGCATCAAAGACCATATCATAGTAGTCTAGCAATTGTGAGAGGCAGGAGTACCCCATTCTGAATCCATGTTGTCCAGGGTTATAAATACACACAGTGTATCAATGTGTTTTGTGATCTTACTTCTTTGCGCTCTTTCAAAGATTTTTATGTTGTGCGATGTTAGAGCTATTAGTGTATATTTTGGCATCAGTTTTACTACCTCCTTTGTAAAGTGGCATGATCTTCACTGTTTTAAGTATGTTAGGGAACCCGGGAAAACTGTTCAGATGGAGCCAGAGCACAAAGTCTGGAGAAATCCAAACCCTCTGCAGTGCATGCCACACAATGCAAACGACTGAATAGTACTGTGAGCCTGACAAAGGAAAGGATATCAATAATCCTGGCCGGCTTGGTGAGCTCTGGTGGAGGCGGAGACAAATGGGCAAAATGTTTCTTAAATCCTGATGCCCCTGTTACCTAACAGTAAATAGGTACTGTACCTGAGAGTTAGATAGCTGCTACGGGCTGCTTCCTGAGGGCGGGGGGGGGGGGGGGGGAAGGGGTGTAACAAAAAGGAGGCCTTGTCAAGGACAGGGCCGCGAGGATGCTAAGCCCCAAAATCATCTCAAAACAACTTAAGATAGCTCCCTGCACCTCTGTTGGGGGCCAGGTTCTGGAACTGGTCCTTGGTAGACCTTTAGAACCTCAGAGCTGATGGGACTTAACAGATGGTACCATCTGATAATATAGTGATTGTCCAGGAGAAAAGGTAAATTCCTCTTGCTATAACACCTCAATTCATGATTATTATTATTATACATTCTCTCTTCTTTTAGCTATAAGTCTTACATGATATACAGAGGGTAATTATTGATTTTATGCTGAAAGGTTATTTATCCCAAGTATATTAAATTTATAAGACACTTGGAGCTACTGTAAATTAATTTATATGAAATTAATTTATTTTTTCTCAGGTAAATGAGGAGTTAGGCCATGGAGTGAGTATAGAAGGAAGTATTCTTAGGATAACCAATGCTGTCATAAATGATCGTGGTATGTATGTGTGCACAGCCCAGAATGATGGAGGTACTGCGCAGGCAGCAGCAATCATTGAAGTTGAACGTAAGTATTTGTAATAATGTAAGAGTTTTTATTCTCTGAATGTTTCTCCACTTTTTTTCTAAGGGAAAGGGGGCTGTTTATGGCTGTGGTGCTCTAAGGTGAATATTACCTTAGAATATCCAAAAATGCCAGCAACTGAGATTGTCAGTGTGTCATGAGCTTCATGCCAAGACATAAGACCACACAATTTTTTTTTTTTTTTTTGAGATATATACAAGAGTTGTTACATTCTTGTACAGCCACTAGTACGCGTAGCGTTTCGGGCAAGTCCTTAATCCTATGGTCCCTGGAATACGATCCCCTGCCGCGAAGAATCGTTTTTTCATCCAAGTACACATTTTACTGTTGCGTTAAACAGAAGCTACAGTTAAGGAATTGCACCCAGTAAATCCTCCCCGGCCAGGATACGAACCCATGACATAGCGCTCGCGGAACGCCAGGCGAGTGTCTTACCACTACACCACGGAGACTGCTAACATACGGAGACAATCATAGCACATCACAAAACAAGGTGAAGTAATAGCTGAATATACCACATCCACAGCACTGAAGTAATAGAACATTCTGAAAAAGTATCAGGGGACACTTAAAAAGCTTGCAAATTCATATAATGTGCTAAGTATTGTACAGTACTGTATATATATATAAACATAGTCCACTGTGCACCAGAAGCTAAGTTTCAAGGATGATATCATGTCAGGCATCTGAAAATGCCATCCCAGCCAGACAATTACAAATGCAACAAGTTAGAGTATGTGAGGAAGCTTGAAGTTAGGGACTCGATGGCTGCTCCACTGGTTTGAATGGTGGTCAGTGAAGGAGTGCCAGGCAGGCCAGCTGATAGTTAGTGAGAGCTCTCTATTCTGGTGGTTACCTGTCAATCAATTTGATTTATATTAATTGACCTTAATTGATTTACAATGACCTTAATCGACCTTAATTTAATTGACATTAATTGATTTACATTTACATTGATTTACAATGACTGACCACTGTCAGTCATTCTCTTTGTAATACCAGTGCCAGTATGTTGCCCTACCTGACGACGTGATACTGTCCAAGAACACAGGAGATTTTGTCTTAAAAAGAACCTTGGAAAAAATAGCATTGAATGTAATGAAATGCTATTTTCTGGGTGAACCCCAGAGGCTCCCTGGAGCTATTGGGCTAATTTGCAATTCATTAGACTTGTACATTAGTCATAGGAGCTCAGCCTACCGGGGACCACAAGCAGGGCCACAAGAACCTGGCCCCCCTCAGAGAGGCACAGGGAGCAATGGCCCTAGAAAATCCCTGTGGTTGGGGGTTTTCTTATTTGCTATCAACTGGGGTTAGGCACCCAGAAAGGTAGGCATAACAAAACAGACCCCCCACATGGTAAGATAATTGCAACTGAAAACCTAACAGAGGAGCAGAAGTACCCCCCTTTCCCTAACCCAGAACCCTGGATCCTCAGTGCCGACGACTTAGCAATTCCAGTTCGGAAACTAAGTATCAAAACATTACTAAAACTGCCGACCGGAGGGAGGGAGGGTTGCCAGGGAGCCTCCAGGGCTCGCCCAGAAAATGGCGTGTCATTACATTCAACGCTGGTTTTCTGAGAGGAGCCCTTTCGGCTCCTTGGAGCTACATAACTATAGATAAGGAAAAGAGGGACTAACCCGGGAGGTTGCTGCCACACTCCTCAACTCATGATAAGACAACTGGCTGCAACCTGGGACCCAAAGCAACGCAAGAATGCCCAGGTCCAAGAACATTAACCAAATACCGGGCAGCCAGAACCCTGTTCAACCTCCAATATGCCTGCGCTTGAATAGCAGCCCAAGACATGTTGCCAAACACGGCAACCACAGCAGCAAACTTTCAAATGTCGTGGACACTAGGATACACTGCAGGCTGGCTAAACTTAATAACCCTGCGGAGGCCCTGGGAGACACGAGCCCTGGAACAGGGAACAAGGGAAATCGAATCAGCCCAAAGCGCATTTTCGTCCACAGAAGTCGAGGTACGCAGGTAAGGGCGAAGAGCCGCAATCGGACACAACACAAGATGAGCCCCCGGCCTGACCAACCAAGCATCAGTGACAAAAGGACCATCTGGAAAGCAGTCATCTCGGTCTTTGCCAGAAAAGAAGAAGGCTGCAACCGCACAAACCGACTACCAGGACCAAAGAAGCAGAAACCCCTGCGCTGGAGGAGAGCATGAAGCACACTGGCCTGACCCCTAGAGGTCAATTCCAATAGAAATAGAGCCTGGGAAAACAATCTTGAACCGAAGGAGCCACCGCGAACTGAGGAGAAGAGAGACAGGAGAGCACCCTGTCCAAAAACTAGGACAGCTCAGGCTGTGCATGAGCAGGCTGGAGGTGAAATGAAGCACATGAAAACTTATGGAAAGGAACAGATGTGACATCCATCCCAAATGCAAGCTGCATTGGCTCCGCCAGCGCTGCACGATATGAGGCAACAGTATTCAGCATGAAATGATGGTCTTGAAAGAGCCAAGACAAAAAGGACAAGACAACCCTATCAGAAATTGAAGACAACATACGAAGAGAGAGAAAATGGCAGAAAAAGTGCCAGGAAACTGCAAACTGTCGCTGAAACAATGCTCTCGGGTAGGACACATTCAACGGAGCTACCCGATCACCATACAAAAGGTGATAAACCCGCATCAAAGGCTCCACATTTGGGAAGGGCGCCACATATATCAGGAGACACCATGACCACACCGACACGAAGAGGTCCACCCTCAGAAGCCTGTATGTCCAGCAAAGCCAACTGAAGGAGTTGGCCCTGACTGTCCATTCCATGACAGGGGTATGAACCAAAACAGGCCGTCCGCCAGGACGTTGGACACTTCCCGGACCGGCCAAAACCTAAGACCCAGCAGATGAGCCACTCAAATCGACTAGCCCCAAAGAGGCAAGGACCGAAGGCAACCCCCTGCAGTTCATGCAGTGAACCACCGGAGAACAGTCCTAATGAAGCCGGATGGTCGAATCCCAAGCGACCCGAACCCTCCGAAACGATAGCTATCCCGTTGCGAACACATGCACCGTGCTGTGAGCCCGACAGAAGGACAGACCCCACCGCTCCTAGCTGGCTCGGTGAGTAGTGGACACCAAGCCTCAGCCGAGAGACAATGCATCCGTTAACACATGGAGCGAGGGCTTGGAGAGGCACCAAGGCACTGAACGCTGGAAAACCCGAAGAGGAAGCCGGCGACGCAGCAACTGACACAAGGCTCATGGAGGTCAAACCCAACGATCGCGAGAGGGAGGGAAGTTGCGTCCCCGAAGGAACCAGAACAGATGCCGAAGCCAGACCCGACCCAGCAGGTAAACCAGCAAGACAAATGTCAGACTCCCATACAACTGCTTGAGCAACCACTGAGTGACCTGGGACACCCTCCCCCCCTCCCAGAAACAACTGAAGGCGAGACTGCAATCACAACAATGCCTCCAGAGGTAGAGACATGGAAGCAGTCTGAGAATCTCAAACAAGACCCAGCCAGGTCCGAACCCAGGATGGAACCAGATAGGACTCCCTCCAGTTCACCAGGAACACAAATCCAGTGAGCTGGGAAAGAATTAAAACCCAGCCGAGCAGACAACTAGACTGACTGGGTGCCCACACCAACCAGTCGTCGATATTGGCCAGAACCCAAACCCGTAGCAGACGCAAATGGGTCACCTCGACCTGGGTACGACATGTGAACACGCGAGGCGCCAGATTCAAACCAAAAGGAAGGGAATAAGGCGGTTAGCCAGATGTCCCACCATGAACCTAACCAGTTCCTGAACACCGGAGGATGGGAATACATTAATACGCACACCTGAGGTTCAGGGACCCCACCCAGGCACTCAACTCCAAAAGAAGCTGGACCTGTGACAGGTTGATCATCCGAAAGGAGGGGCAAGGAAGTCAGGGGTTCAAATGGGACAAGTCCAGAATGAACTGCAGATTTGCACATTCCCGTTTCAGCATTGGAACAGGTGGGAAACCCACCTGAGGGACATGGCTGGGTCGACCACGCCCAAGCACACCCACTCCAAAATGACCTGACAGAGTGCAGGGGATGATGCCTGCCCCATCAGGCACGAACCATCCACGAAGGAGGAGGAGGAGGAGCCTCCCAATGCCATCACAGGCTAGAAAATATGACCCGAATGCCCACGAATTATGGGACCAGGCGTGATCAGAGTGAGCTTCTCCACCAAAACAAAGGGATCTGTGCCCCCTCCAAGAGAAAACAAAGATTGTAAATAAAAGAACATAAAATAAAAGCAAGAAGCCAACTGGGGAGTAGAGCGAGCACAGCGAAGGCCAGACAAAGAAGGCACTGGAGGAAGCGCTGGCACAAAAGCTGCACCTAAGGCCCACCTCGACTAACAAAAGCTGAAGCCCTGGCACAACTACAAAACACATGCCAAGACCCAAGAAGTGCAGTCTGCAAGCCAGGAAGACCCCAAAACCCCAGAAGAGGAAAGTTTGGGGTGCACAGGATGTGACCAAAGGCTTCCAGAACCCCCAAATGGGACCCGCAAGAAGAAAACCTCCGTAACGAAACTGGAGAGCCCAAAAGGAACCCAGAAACGAACCCGGGGGAAGCCCAAACCACCACATTTGCCAGCAGAAAGGCACTACAGAAAGGAAGGGGCAAAACACATCACCCAGACCGAACCCCCTAGGTAAACAGCCAGAAACGGACCGAAAACTGAGGGATAAAAGTGTCAGAGCAAGCAGAGCTAACAGCCAGGGACACCGGGCCCAAACCCCAGGACCCATACCCAAACACAGACAGAAATTACAAAACTGGGTGAAAAACCAACACCCAAGCATTCCCAGAGGATCAGAATAAGGGCAGAATGCCCCAGAAGAAAGAACAAAATAGAGAAGTGGCAATGAGAGAATAAAACCTCTGATGGAGGGAAAAAAATGCCCCTAAAATGCGAGGGCACACTCTCAGGCACATATAAACAAACAAAGCGCAGCACTGCCCTGGCAGCCAGGTGGAGAAGCAACCTGCAGAAAGGAAAATGGCCACCAAAACAAAAGGAGACGCGGCTGATGTAAAAGAGTCAAAATCATGCCAACAAATGTGGGATAATAAAGCAGACGAGAGGAGGGATGGGAAGGGGGGGACGAATGCCCAGAAGGCACAGATCTTATGTAGGGGGCAAACCAGCCCCAGAACTGCTAGCGGGTTTTCCCCACAGCCCTGGGAACCCGCAACAGAGGCCCCTGTGGTGGAGCTGTCCTCCAAACCCTCCACCCCTGAAGAAAAGGCAGAGTCCAGGGGAAAGGCAGCAAAGAAAGGGGCTACTGGTAGGACTTTGAAACCTCAGCAAGAGGAACAGGCTCGAATACCTTCCCCCAACCTGAATGGGGCAGCTCCCCAAAGCTGCCCGAGTCTCATCAATAACTAAATCTCACCCCGAAACCCACTGACAGTACGGAGCTGGGAACAGGAAAGAGGGGGGTGGCGAAGGGCAAACAACGCTAGCATGCAATGCGGATGCCGCCTGTACCTGAATATTAATGTTATCAGAATGGGTAACTGGAGAACATGCAGGGAACACAAAGTGCAAGACTCCAGATCAAAGGTGTCAGTGACCTAACAGGCAGCATGACAGGCAAAAACAGTGACTGTCACCCTGAGACAAGAGCACATGGCAACTTACACACTCGCACAAGGCAAGCTGGAACTCAAAAGACGCATCCATAGGTCCATCAAGCCCTAACAGGATTTTGCAGGGCCCCGTAGGCTGACTGCTGCGGGAAGCCTGGGAACATTGTTGCTAACCAGTTAGACCCAAAGCTAACAAGGGGGAGAACAAACCCTAAAATTCCTCTGACGCATACAATCACGGGGGCCAAACGGAGGGCAGGAACCAGCTGCTGCATAGGTAGCTGGCTGCGCAACACCTTGACGCCCCAACCAGCAACAATACCACTCCTTACCCAAGGCCAAACAAGGGCCACGAAACCCCAGCCGACCCCAAGAGTGGGGTAGATGCCGAGCAGCAAGAACCACCACTGAAATGGCTTGCTGAATGCAACAGAGAAGAAAACCCTGACACGCAAGGGTAGTGCTCATAGGGAACTTAGGGAAGGCTGCCCTAAGCGCATGCAGCCCCAGTACACTTCAGATACACATGGCCACCCCGAACAGTAGAAGACACCACTAAGGCAAAACACTGCATTGAAAATCGAGGTCAGAGATGACGTCCGCCCTGGATTACATTAGCCGACGAATTGGAATGGCTGGGTCGCCGGCGAGAGGGGTCCGGGGCTTCCCCTCCCCCTCTTGGGAGGCATGGGGAAGGAGAGCTGTATGGATGAGTGACGCGGCAAGGGAGAGTGATGTTTGCTTGTTTGCTTGTTTCCTTGGGATTGGAGGGAGTTCTGCCTCTATGTTTGGTTTTTGGCTTCAATTTTCTTACCATATGGGGTCTATTTTGTTATGCCTACCATTCTGGGTGCCTAACTCCAGTCGATGGCAGATAAGGAAACCCCCAATCACAGAGCGGTTTTCCAGGGCCATTGCTCCCTGTGCCTCTTTGATGAAGCCAGTTTCTGGCTCGTGGACCCTGATAGGCTGAACTCCTATGACTAAATCCCTGGTCTAATGAATTACATATTAGCCCAATAGCTCCAGGGAGCCAAAGGGGCTCCCTTCAGAAAAGTTTATATCATTTACTAAATGTTGGTTAAAGCATACTTGGTAATACACTGAAATACTTTTATGCATAGCTTAGAATTAATTTGTCTAATCCATTTACAAAAACACAATATTGTGTTTATATATATAACTTAAATGCTCAGAGCTCTTATTTATCCCATCAGGTCGTGAACCACCTGTAATTGAAGTGTATCCTGAATTGAGGCAGACCATTGTTGTTGGTGCAAGTGCCCTCTTCCAATGCCACTTAACAGCTGGTATTCCAAACCCAACTGTTAGATGGGCTCGTACTGATGGTCGGCCCTTGACACCAAATACAGAAACCCTAAATGGTGGTGTTCTCAGGTTTGTTGTTGTTGTTGTTGTTATTATTATTATTATTATTATTATTATTATTATTATTATTATTATTATTATTATTATTATTATTATTATTATTATTATTATTATTATTATTATTATTATTATTATTATTATTATTATTATTATTATTATTATTATTATTATTATTATTATTATTATTATTATTATTATTATTATTATCTTACATTATATGCACTTGTTTTCATCATTATTACCCTGCTTACCATTTTTATCGGGTGAGAGGGTATCGTTCCAGAGATACGAGGGAAGATGTAGTGTGGTGGGGGGGGGGGGGGATAAGTGATTTGAGAAATGATGGTGATGGTGGAGCTTAGGAAGTTAAGAAAACAAGACTTTTCATGCACAAAAAACATTGCAAATAAACATACTGCCTTAGCCGGTCGGCCGAGCGGACAGCACGCTGGACTTGTGATCCTGTGGTCCTGGGTTCGATCCCAGGCGCCGGCGAGAAACAATGGGCAGAGTTTCTTTCACCCTATGCCCCTGTTACCTAGCAGTAAAATAGGTACCTGGGTGTTAGTCAGCTGTCACGGGCTGCTTCCTGGGGGTGGAGGCCTGGTCGAGGACCGGGCCGCGGGGACACTAAAGCCCCGAAATCATCTCAAGATAACCTCAAGATAGCCAGTACACAGCATAAGCTCACTACATAGTGAACCAAAATTTCTTGAACCATTTAAGGACACTTACAGGAATTGGATCTTGAGCCTGCCCAACCACACCTGGAATCAGTCAGGAAGACTGTGATGGAAACCAAAGATTTGTCACAATGCACAGAAAGTGGTGTACCAAATTATCTGAACCTAACCTAACCTAACCTAACCTAACCTAACCTGACTAATGGACCCATACATAGAAAATGTGAATATTTGTGAGCCGCTATGATTTATATCATATTTTTCTGATGAAGATTTTGATGTCAAAATACAATGAATTATTGAGATGACGGGTTGGATGGTCAGGGGCAATTGCCAGGTGGGGAAATAGTTTTGAGTATTAGAGTAAACTTTCTGCGGTCACTCTGGGCTGGGCTGAGCTTTTCTTCAGTGCTAACTTAGTACATGTATAATTAAAATAGGAATGTTTGAAAAGATCCTTTTAAATTTATTTTAAGTATTTAATTGCTGGTATCTTTCACAGATTCAACCAAGTTCAAGGTGATGAAGAAGGCTCTTATACTTGTACAGCAGAGAATGATGCTGGGCTTGTAAGAGCTACAGCTGTACTGGAAATACAGTCATTACCAGTAATAAACATTCGACCTGGTCCATCACCATACACTGTACGTCAGGGAGAGAGAGTCCATTTAGAGTGCTCTGCCCAAGGTGATCCTGCTCCATCAGTTACATGGCAGAGGCTTCAAGTCAATTTCCCATCTGACATGTGAGTTATTTTTCATTACGCATTTTTTGTCTTAAAATAAAAAGCTAGTTCTCAGCTAACCGCAAGTAAATTTTAATTTTCTTGAATGCTGGCTGAAACCCATTATAATTTTATCCTTTGTTGAGCAGTGAGCATCTTTCATGCTTAGTTATTATAGTAAAAGTTTGAATATCAAACTCAGTTGGGACCTGGATCATATAGGATATCTAGATAATCTGAACATTTTGATAGTTCACTAATACTAACATTTATTTGAAAATATTAAATTAAATCAAATTATTATAGAATTTCCTCTGTTGTTTACTCAACTAAAAAGTTTGAAGTTTTGGTTGGTAACATATGCAAAATCTACCAGTTTCCTCTGTAATGTGAGATTATTCACTTGTTAAATTATTCTTTGAAAGTAATTTATCAAATGTAATAGTTTCTTTCGGAGTACCATGGACCAGAGCCAGAACCTGACCCCCTCCCTCACAGAGGCAAAGGGAGCATTGACATTTTCTGTGGGGCGCCCCTTCGGCTCCCCGGAGCATACTAGGCTGATGTGCTAATGTCAGACTTTGGCATCAGTCATGTGTATGGAGTTCTTATGGGCCTAGCAGCGACCACGAACCAGAACCTGGCCCCCCTGAGAAGAGGCAAGGGGAGCAATGGCCTATAGAAACCCCCCGTGTGGTTGGAAGCATTCTATGTCTGCCATTGACCGGGTCAGGCACCCATCCGGCTTCATTTGGACTGTTCTCCGGTGGTTCATTGCTGAAACCATGAGGCTCTCTTCGGTTTTTGCCTCTTTTGGGTTGGTGACTTCGTGTGGCTCTCCAGCTGGATTCTTGGGGTTTGGCTCTCCATGTGGTTCATGTCCGGGAAGTGTCTAATATCCTGGTGGACGGCCTGTCTCGGTTCCTTCGTCTGTTCACGGATTGGCCGGTCGTTGCCGACTCGTTTTGTTGGCTCTGTTGGACTACGAACTCCCGAACATGGACATCTTTGCGTCAGCATGATCTCGGCGTCTCCCATTCTATGTGGCGCCCTTTTCCACCTGCAAGGCTTTTGCGGTGGATGCTTTTCGGCAGGACTGGTCGAGGTGGGGTTACCTGTACCTCTTCCCCGGTCCAGCTGTTGCTTCAGGTTCTGGCTCGGTTGGAGTCCTTCCCATGGAGAGTAGTCCTTATGGCCCCTTGGTGGCCGGCCCAGCTTTGTTTTCAGATGCTGCTTGATCGGTGTCTGAACCCATGACATTTCCCGTGGCTTCGCCTCTTTCGGCATATCAGACCAGTCCGATATGTGGCTGGTTCGGCATTCTTGGCTCTTCACGTCTGGTCTTTTGATGCGGGTGTATCACCATCTCTATGGTGATTGGGTGGCTTCATTAATGGTGTTCCACCTGCGAGCTTCGTCTCGGCGACCGTATGAAGTTTCCTGGCCCTTCTTTTTGCCATTTTCTTCGTAGGTTGTCTTCGCTTTTGCATTGGGTTGTCTTGTCCTTTCTTGGTTTTTCAGGACAGTCATTTGATGCTTCTTACTGTCGCCTCATATCATGCAGTGCTGGCGGAGCCGCTCCAGCTTGCGTTCGGGGGTGGACGTCACATCTGCCCTGTTAGATACGCTTTCTTGGGCTTTGTTTCACCTCCAGCCTGCTCATGTGCCGCACTTGAGCCATCCTGGTCTTGGTCAGGGTGCTCTCTTATCTTTCCTCTCCTCGGTTTGTGGTAGCCCCTTTGGTTCAAGATTGTTTTTCAAAGATCAAATTTTGTTGGCATTGGCCTCTGGGGGTCGGGTCGGGAGGCTTCCAGCTCTCCTCCGGCGCAGAGGTTTCTGCTCTTTTGGTACTGGTGGTAGGGTTGTACGTTTACAGCCTTCTCCATCTTTTCTGGCAAAAGCTGAGACGGCTGCTTTCAGGAGGGGTCCTTGGGTTATTGATGCGTGGTTGGTTTGGGCGGGGGTGCATCATGTGTTGTCCGGTTGTGGCTCTTCGCCGTTACCTGCGTGCTGTGGCTGGGGATGTGCTTTGGGTTGATCCGGTTTTCCCTCGTTGCCTGTTCCAGGGCTCAGGTCTCCCAGGTCATCCCCCAGGGTTACTAAGTCTGCCAGTCTGGGGTCTATCCTTGCACCCATGCCGTTCGGACATTTGCAGCTTTCGCTGCCATGTTTGGTAACATGTCTTCGGCTCATTTCGAGCGCGGGGATTTGGAGATCACACAGTTTTCTGGCCGCCCATTTTTTTGTGAGCGTGTCTGCTCCTGGGTGTTCTTGTTTTGCATTGGGTTGCATGTTGCAGCCTGTTGTCTCGACTTCACATAGTGGAGTTTGTGGCGGCCGCCTCCTACGTCAGCCTTTTCTTTTCCTTCTCTTTGAGTATGTAGCTTCAGGGAGCTGTAGGGGCTCCCCTCAGAAAACCAGCGTTGAATGTAATGAAACGCCTTTTTCTGGGTAACCCCGGAGGCTCCCTGGCAACCCTCCCTCCCATCAGTCGCCGTTTTTTTCGCATTTGTTAACACTTAGCTTCTGAACTGAAGTGCTATGCAGCCGGCGTGTTAAGGTCCGAGGCCCTCCCCTTTCCCTCTCGGGGAGGGGAGGGCTGCTTGGACGAGCGGCGCGGCAGTAGTGTGTTACGTTTGCTTGTTTCCTAGGGATTGTAGGGAATTCTACCTTTCTGTTTGGTTTTTGTTGTTAGTTTCTTACAATGTGGTTTTTTTTTTGTTATGCCTAACTTTCTGGGTGTCTAACCCCGGTTGATGGCAGATAAGGAAAACCCCCAATCACAGGGGGGTTTTCCAGGGCGATTACTCCCTGCAACCTCTCTGAAGGGGCCAAGTTCTGGCTCATGGTCCCCTGCTAGGTCTGAAATCCATAGCTGATGTACTGGTCTACTATAACATATATTAGCCCGATAAGCTCCAGGTAGCCTCCGGTGCTTACCCAGAAAATAGCGTTTCATTAAATTCAACGCTGATTTTTTACGTGTTGAATTATAAAAACAATCCTGCATTGTCTTACAGACCCAGCCGATCAACAGATCTCAATGTTGCTGTATATGATATTGCAAGTGCCACAAAAGCTGATGAAGGAACTTACCAGTGTTCTGCAAGGAATTCTGCTGGTATGTCTGTTTTTATATTGGGAACTCTTGAGAACTGGAGACAGAACAATAAAGACAGTATAGTAATTAAATATATGTATTTGCTCGATGTTGTTTACAGTTTAAGCAGGATAAGCAGGATGTTTGTGTTGCATCCTTCTGGAGGCTAATTTCTTTCACTTGAATTATCAGGGATTAAAACTTCAGCTGGAAAAATCACCCAGCAACCTGGCCCGGTTACTCATAATAAAGAAGTCTCTCAGAAAGTAGCTAACTGATACTCGATCTGAGCATTCAAACCTTTCCCAAGGCACCACGATTGTATCTGCGGGCAACCTGCCATTTCATTCATGTTGTCCATCACAGTGTGGTTAATAACATTTCATTCATTTGGATCATCTGGTATTGAAACTTGGGTCTGAAAAATAGGATGCTGTCACTAGCATCAGGTCAGAATGAACCCACAATATTGTGGATTGCATTTTATATGACAAGGATGAAAGGGAGCATTGCTGAAGAAGTAGAGAGGGATTGTTTCAGTAATAGAGAGAAAGCTCAAATAGTGGAAATGGTATCAATGTATTAGACAATACTGTATTTCAGTATGGATAATGTGGTGGTAGTATGAAGGGTTGAAAATAGTGCTAATATATAGTTAAATTAATGTTCTTGTAGCTGAGATAGCATTTATGCTCAAGTGAAGGAATTATAGTACAGTAATTTATAAGCAGTGATAATATTTATGTAGTATTTAAACAGAGATTTTGCTTTTCAATTGATGTAAGTATTTGTAGATTTCCTTTGATCCTATGTTTAGTTTTGTTTTAGGGAACTTTGTGTCTTTAGACAATTATATTAAGGGGGAATTTTCTTATCTCACAAATTAATTTGAATCTAGCCCTTGATTCAGTATTTTGGATCATAAGACCATAAAATTAATTTTTAGTTTTTTGAAAGTATTTTATGAATCAAAATATAATCCTATTGTTATATAACTGAAACTTGCAGGTGTTAGTCATGAGAGATTCCAGCTGATAGTTGAACAGCACAATCTTCCTGGCAATAATTTACCACCTATCACACTACCGGAGCCTTCTGCTACTGTCTTCGTTCCTTTTGGAGGATCATATGAATTTACATGCTCAGGTATGATAGGAAATGTCTTGTTTTATAACTTGTGGTGTTGATATTTCATAAAATATGAATTTCAATGTCAAATCTGAATAAAATTTTAGATCTGTTATAATTTGATCTATATATTACATTTAATGAAATATTGTACTGAAAGTTTAAATGTGTTTAAACAATTGTAGAATGCTGATAACTGGTTGTATATTAAAAGTAAAGGAGGTGCAAGGTGGTGAATGTGAAAGTAGGGATGCAAGACCTTACTGCATGCTAATAAGATATAAGAGGCTTCATTTTTCTTGTGTAGTTTTCTATTAGTTCTGTTATTTCTTTGGAGCTTTCCAAGTCATGATAGGCTGCTATTGAACTCTTTCTCTTTGTACCTGTAGGATATGTAAGTTATTTTCCTTTGTAAAAATCAGCTGTCAGAGCTATAAGAAATTCTCTTCTGACAATGTTCTGCCCCTCTGTTCACATCCCTAAACATAAACACTACACATTCGCTTGTACTATTTTCACTTACATAGTCATATTGTTTAGCACTAATTTTAACTTGAAACTCTTTCTAGATGGATGTACAGTAATAGAATCCATGAACATCTCAGCAGAAATAAGTGTGTCTTTGATATTCCAGAGTCCAACTAATTCTGTGCAAACACATTATTCCATTAAAGAGAACCAATATACAGTATTGAACCCCCTTCCTACTGATGTAAAAAATTACTCAACTTTCTGGGGAGCTCCGTTGGCTCCCTGGAGCTATCGAGGCTGATATGGATATATTAGATTTCTGGCATCAGTCAATGTGTATGGAGTTATAGGCCTACCGGGGACCACCAGCCAAAACCTGACTCCCTCAAAGATGCATGAGGAGCAATGGCCTATAGAAACCCCCGTGTGGTTGGAAGCATTCTGTGTCTGCCATCAACCGGGTTAGATGGCAAAATCTTACTGAAGCGACCATACGAGTCATAAATACTCATACTCCACCCAAGTAAAACAGAAACAAGCAACACTAGGTGGGCCAGCCAGAGGTTTAGGGCCCATACAGGAATATCCCTGCAAATAAAAAAAAAAAGATCAGGCACCCAAAAAGGTAAGTGTCCCCCCGAAAAACCCTATTCTGGTGAAAACATTGCTAAAAAGTACCTTGCCTGGGCTTCCCTTAGCGGAATACCAACACTAAGGGCCCTGGGAAACCCTGCTGGGACTCTGAGGTCCAATGGATGTGACCCTTGGGTCCCCTCTCTCTTCGTGCGAGTCAAAAGGTTGCTCTGTCCCCTTGTCTCAGGGTGACAATCACCGGTTGTGCCTCAGGCAGTTTCGGGGGAGTCCCCTTCTAGGGTGGTGGCAGAGGCATTTGAGCCTGGTCCTCTAGCTGGAGCTTCTGGTTCTGACCAGTGGGCTACCTTCGTTCCTGCTTTTTTTTTGCGGATCTTGCCTTTTCTTTAGAAGCAGGGGGCTTGGGGTGAGGTTCCTGGGGTGGGAAAGGGGTTGACTTGGGCCCTGTTGGACCCCGCTTGGGTTTTTGTACCATCGGAGCGGGGCTTGGTGTTACAAGGAGTGGGGTTCTCTTATTTTCCCTCCTCATACAAATTTGATTTGGCATCTATCCCTCCCTGGGTTCAGTTCCATGATCCTGATTATGCAGTTCCAGAGTCTTCCTGGTTGGCAGACAGCCCTCTTTTGTTGGAGGCATGGGAAGCGTTCTGTCGGTCCCACACGCTTGAGTGGTGGAAAGCTCATACGGTGCTGCAGGTTTTCCTGGGGGGTGATTTTGAGCATCTCATTGCATGCTTGTTCGCCCCTGCCCTTCCACAGGATGTTGGTGTGGCACAGCTTCATGTGCAGGTTCCTTCCCTTTCGGCAGCATTCGTTGCGGAGGACTTGCACGCACGTGGCCTGTTGACTTTTTGGCCTTGCGCTTCTTTTCCCTGCTCGAGCTGTCCTCGGATTGGCTTGAGTAGGATGTGGAGACGCTTGGGGTTGCCTCTGGGTCTGGTGCATTGCCCTCGGCGGTGCATGGGTCGTCTACATTGTTGAAGCTGTTACGCCGATCCTGAGGGATGCTGTTTCGCTCTTTTTTGCTTCCTGTCTCGTGTGTCGACAAGCGGTGTTCACTTTTCCCTTGCAATCCTCTTGGGCATTGGCTCTTAGGTTGTCTTCGCCCTTTTGTCCGTTGCTGTTTGCAGTCTGCGGTTGTGCAGTATCTGCAGGCAGCTTCGTCTAGTTATCGTCCTATGTCGGACTTTTGATTCTCTGGAGGCCTCATGGGTGGCCTTCCTGGAGGGGTCATGCCAGGGTTCAGGGGTTCCTCCCATCATGGTAGGCCAGTGGTTCCAGATTTGGTACTGGCACAGTCGTCGAAACCATCTGTTACTAGTCGGCCAGATGATCAATCTGTGCGCCGCATTGGTTCACGTAAGGGGTGTCGGACCTTTCGCGGTTCGTCCCATTGACTCGGGGTATGGGGGAGAGGCTTGCCCCTGTTTGCTCACTCCTGAACCCATGATTTGTGGGCCTTTTGGGTTGTTTCGTGCAGCCTGCAGTAGCGTTGAGTGGCCCCTTCTCTTTCGGGGGGATCGGAGTTGGAGGGATGGCCTCTTCTCCTGTGCTCTGTCACGTCATCTCAGAGTGGATTCGCTTGGGTGTGGTCGAAACAATCTCATCCCTCAGGTGGGTTTCCCGCCTGTTTCCAGTTCCGAAACGGAACTGCGCGGACCTCAGGTTCATTCTGGACTTGTCCCATCTGAACCTGCGGGTTTATTGCCCCTCATTTTGGATGACTACTCTGTCCCAGGTTCGTCTTCTGTTAGAGCTGCACGCTTGGATGGTGTTCCTGGACCTCAAGGACACGTACTGGCATGTCCCGATTCATCCAGGATTCAGGGACTAGCTCGGTTTTCCTGGTGGGGCGTAAGGGTTACCGCTTTTTCTGGGGGAAGTCCCTTCGGCTCCTTGGAGCTATCCAGGCTGATATTGCTAATGTCAGACTTTGGCATCAGTCATGTGTATGGAGTTTTGTGGGCCTACTGGAGACCACGAGCCAGAACCTGGCTCCCTTAGAGAGGCGCGAGGAGCAATGGCCTATAGAAACCCCCAGGTGGTCGGAAGCATTCTATGTCTTCCGTCGACCGGGTCAGGCACCCAGAGAGAAAGGCGCCCCAAAACACCTATGGATTGCCGGCGCAGGGGTCTGGGGCTCCCCCTTCCCCCTCCCAGGGAGGGGGAAGCTGCGCAGACAGCGGCGTGGAATATGACGTGTGACGTCATGCTTGTTTGCTCTTTTCTGTTTGGGGGAGTTCTGTCCACTAGTTTGGCTTTTTGTAACAATTTTCACCAGAATAGGGGTTTGTTTTGGGGCGCTTGTCTTTCTGGGTGCCTGACCCGGTCGATGGCAGACATAGAATGCTTCCAACCACATGGGTGTATCTATAGGCCATTGCTCCTCGCGCCTCTCTGAGGGGGCCAGGTTCTGGCTCGTGATTCCCGAGCCATTAGCAATATCAGCCTGGATAGCTCCGTGGAGCCTCCGGGTCTCACCCAGAAATGGCGTGTCATTACATTCAACACTGGTTTGTTGCCTTCCATTCGGTTTGAACCTGGCACCTCGCGTTTTCACACTTTTCACACCCGGTTTGTGGTGGCCCGTTGGCATCTTTTAGGTGTTCGGGTTCTGGCATACCTCGACGACTGACTGATATGGACTCCCAGTCAGTTCATGTGTCTGCTTGCCAGGGATTTAGTTCTCTCCCAGCATCCTTACCTCCCTCCGGTCTGCATTTTTTTGCATGTATTGATGTCCAGCTTCAGAACTGATGGGTGGATAGTTGACGCTGGGGTCTGGGGCTCCCCCTTTCCCCTTCCGGCGAGGGGGGGGGAGCTGCACAGACAGCGGCGCGGCGATGTGTGACGTCATGCTCGTTTGCCCGTTTCTTTTTGGGGAGTTCTATTTACTTGTTCGGCTTTTGGTAGCAATTTTCACCAGAATAGGGGTTTGTTTTGGGACGCTTACCTCTCTAGGTGCCTGACCCGGATGATGGCAGACATAGAATGCTTCCAACCACACGGGGGTTTCTATAGGCCATTGCTCTTCATCCCTCTCTGAGCGGGTCAGGTTTTGGCTCGTGGTCCCCAGTAGGCCTAAGAACTCTTGTTTGCTTTGACCGATGTCTACTCTAGTTGACGTCTGTCTAGACTGAAGAGTAGACTGATGACGTCTACTCTACATAATCTAATACATTCATATCAGACCGGATAGCTCCAGGGAGCCTCCGGGTCTCACCCAGAAAGTGGCATTTCATTACATTCAACGCTGGGATTTTCATTGATATTGTTCAATACATTGTCACTTGATGTTTTATTATAATACAACTGTCATACATTCAATACACTCTCACATATTAGTGTCACAATTATGCACACACAAATGTGTTCTTTTACAGGAAATATAAAATGCATTCTGGTTTATTTTGAAGATATACACACACTCACTCAATATATACATGTTTTGGCACTATAATTAAACATTTAGAAGTCTTAGAGAGTGTGATACTCTTTGAAGCACTTGACATGACACAGAGATGACATATGCTTCGCACCATGTTAGCAGCAATTTACTTTTCTGTGGTCTCTCTTGTTTGGTCTTACACACAATACACTCATGCTGGCCTATTGCACACTTTCCAGTTGGTTGTAAATTATCTGTTATGTGTACTTGAGAGCCCTCCCTGAAAGCCAACCTGAATGTAGGAGCATGGTGCAATACTGGGTTCTGAATGGGTCTTTGTATGCTAAGAATTGGTTTGCCAAACCTGTTTAGGAGTTGTCAGAACAGCAAAACTAAACCCACAGTAATTCCGTTTACCACCTGTTGTCACCAGATACATATTGTAACTGTTCAGCATGGAGCCCCGAACCCACCGCGCCGGCTACTCAACCCCAGTTCGTTGGCTAATACGATCTGGGGCGGTTGTCAACTCTGGCCTCAATTTCTTGGCAGTGTTTTGCCTTAGTGGCATTTTTTTGCTGTATAGTGGTGTGGTGGCCAGGTGTAACATCAGTGTACTGGGGCTGCATGCGCTTAGGGCTGCATTTCCTAATAATCGTCAACAAGGTGAAATAACATTTTCTTGGTCACTTCACTGTTTTCCGAACAGACTTGACAGCGCCCACCATCATGTCACATTTATCAACCAAATTCATGTTTGTTATAGTCCATAAGACAATCTGGTTTATATATTGGTTGTTTAGTGGTTTTGTTCACCTTGCCACTGTTCACCATTGTACCAGTGTAAATGGTGGTCAACATGTTGACTTTATGCCTGTCTTTCCACCACATTGAAAGTATTTGACCAGGTTTTCTTACTTGGCAATCGCCCACTTCAATATCATTGTCAAACACTGGCATTTCCCTTCGTTTTGCCTTAACTGTGCCACACATTCCAGTTCTATTATCAAGCAAGAACCTAGTTAGCAAGGAGAGTTGTATAATAGCTATCTGTGTATAGTATGTGGCCCTTGTACAGCCATGGTGCCATCAGTGTCTTCATCACACTACCTGAGAAGCCATGCTGGTCATTACCAGGAATGTCTACATTGGTTCCAGAATACATTGTCATGTGTAACACAATTCTTGTTTCACAGTCACAGAGTACAAAGAATTTCAATTTAGATCTGTGGTGTTTGGAGGGAATATACTGTTTAAAGGTAACACATCCTTTGAAAAGCACAAAAAATCAATCGCCAGCATCTGAGCTGGTAGGTAGAAATCTCTGAACTTTCCAGTAAGTTCATTTTGAACGTGCCTCACCTTCCAAAGTCTATCATCCTGTGCTCATCTTCATTAATTGCAAAATTAAGACACCTGAGGATTATCACATACCTGTCTCGAGACATATATTTGCCGAGCAAAGGTATTGGAACACACTGGTCTTTACTCCAATAATCTGTGAGGACATGTTTGACACAATGTTTCAACAACATACACAGTACCAAAAATATGTACATTTCACCTACATTTGTCTCCTTCCAATGCCATAATTGTGAATAATCTAATAACTCTTCACTTGCAATGAGTTCAGCCGCATATTTGTTTGTTTCTTGAAAATTTTTCTGTGAGCGGCTCATCAAAATATGCAGTAAAGAAGTCCATTTCACACAGCCTCACCAGTATCAGGGAAAAAGGTCTGTAATACCAACATCTTTATTGTCAATGGCGGGAATTTGTGGAACAAAATCTGCACCATCAATCCACACTAATGCACCTGCTGTCTTCTGAGACACAACAGTGGCACCACGGCGAGGAATCCATGGCCCAGGAGCTGAAGCACATCTATGCACAGTAGGGGCAGGAACAGAAGATGAAGGAAAACCAGTTAAACATGAGGGGCTTTGTTTCTCATTGTCTTCATGTGGTGCCGTGCAGCGCCGTTTGACGCCCTCAATTGTATACTTTTTATTGACATGACGCCCTCAATTGTATACTTTTTATTGACATGACGCCCTCAATCATATATATACGATGTGTGCCGTTCAGCGACATTTACTCAAATCACATACAGTACATTGTATACTGTGTACAATATTACACTATTTAAGGGTTAAAACTCTTGAATCCCCCCCTCTTGCAGAAGTTTGTGCACTTGCTAGATTCAGTCTTTCATTACATTTCAAAGTAATTAAAATTCATTACATTTAAATTACTAAAAGCAGCTGATGGCTGTTGACTCCTATTGAAACCCCATTGTTTCAAAATTCTATTTTAGTTCTCACATTGAGTTAATACTTTTCTTAACAGGTCAACCTGAAAGCAACATCATTTTCGATTTCAAACGTACTGATGGACGACCATTACCAGAGGGTGCACGCGTTGATAATGATGTTTTGTATTTAACTAATGTTGACGAATCAGCATCAGGAGAATATGCATGTGTGGGTGTTGACCACATTTCTGGCAATATTCTCTTTACTATCTACTCTGCCATTGAAGTTTTCGGTGAGTAAACATTGTTGTTGTTCAGGTACTCTATTAAATTTTGTGCATCTTGCCATGTTATTTTTATGTTACATTGTTACTGAATATGTTTTTATTGATAATTGCCAATTTAAAAAATTGAGTGGCAGTTGTAATACTTCTTATTTGGTGTTGCTGACGTGTGTATTGTCTTTCCCATGTGCTGCGTCCTTCAGGAGACCCTTGCGCTCCAAGAGGTACACTTCCCTAATTTGGGTTCAAACAATACCTTATGTAAAACAACTAAATTGTAATATCTTTTCTAGCCTAAAATATGTTTGTTCTGATTATTCTCAAATTAATATCCATGAGTAAAATTATAGTTCCTGGGATTTTCACAAAAAAATGTATTTGCATGCTTATTCACTGTCAATTTTAACCTTCACATCAAAATTCCTTTGTCTCATCTCTGGCATGAATAATTTTACATTAGACATTTTCAGGTTTTATTTATATGAAGAATATAAACATAACAAGCGAAATAAGAGTATTAACTCTTAGGCTGCGGACATCGTCCATTGTTGATTCACTTGGTAATGAGGTTATCATCATATGAAGACTTAAACAATAATAATCTATGTTTTACATATATGATGCAAATTTAGATATAATAGGTCTACTGTATGTGGATGTAATAGAGTTTACCTTGACCAATGAAAAAATCCTGCTACCATTTCATGGTATGAATACGGTTATTGTCACAAATGTTACTAAGGGAATGTGGTCATTGTCATATGATGATTTAACACTTTGGCATCTTGATGACATTCTCGGAGTCATTAAAACAATACAGTAGACGTATGGTGCAACATGATGTTAACGCCATCAACCATTAAAATACAGTGGTAGCTCAGTTTTCGTATTTAATCTGTTCCCAGAGACTGTACGAAAACCAAACCGAATTTTCCCATAAGAAATAATGCAAGTTAAAATTAATCCGTTCCACACCCCCAAATATATTAACTAAAAAATACATTTTATACAGACTAATTCTCTTAAGTACCTTACCTTTATTGAGAACTCTTGTTGGTATATGGAAGACAGTGAGAAGGAGGGAGAAGAAGAGGTTTTAGTGTTTGGAAGGGAAGTCCCCTTCCATTATAACAGTAGTGATGACATTTATGGGGTACTTTCTCTCTTATGTTTTGCAGGCATACCATTAGAACCTGGTTGTGGGTCACTGCTTGCTTGTCTTACTAAGAATCTGTCTATAGACACTTGGTTTTCCTTACGATTTACACTTGTCTGTAGTGAGACATCTCATTGCCTCACTATGATTGATCTCTTGTTTTCCTCTATTGTCATCCTCACAACTATCTTCTTAGGTTGAACATTACCACTGACTTTCTTGGGACCCCATGGCATGATATATAATAAGAACTTCTATGTTCAGACACCAATAAAGCACAAATTTCTCCATTAATTTAAATGCAGTTTTTAAATTGACCAGAGTGGCACAAGATCCTCTTACTATTATATAGTTCTCTGGTGACAGTTAACTTTGCTATACTACTCTCTGATCTCTTGAGTGTTATAAGATGTGGTGAACCTGTTTTAGCACCTATTAAAAGTGCTAAATGTTCTTAGTTTCTCACTATGGTGTGAAGTCATTTGCATATTAAGGTTATGTTTCTTAATTTTTAACTAATTTAATTGAACTTTGTTAATCATTGCTTAATTATTCATCTGAATTTTAGGTTTTCTATAATAATATATGTTTCTTTTATTGAATTAAACAATGGATTACCTGTAGCTCGAGGTATGAAAAATGTTGTATTTTGTATATTACAATATGTTATATATATACTGGAGCTGTATATTTTTCACTTGTGCTTATTCATTATCACTAATAAAGTAATTGGTATTTCCTCTTTGCTAGATATATCTTAACAGTGTTTGCAATGTTATTTTTATAACAAAATCCAAACTTTGTCTCTGTTCATTACAAAATAATTATATGTACAGTATTTTGAACTCCCTAAATTATCCCACAGCACCTCCGAGGATCACCTTACAGCCAGCTCTACAAGTTGTAAAGCCTGGACAAAATGTTCGCATTCACTGCTCGGCCACTGGTCAGCCTCCAATCACGATAAACTGGTCCAAAGCAACAGGCTTTATGCCTCCTTCAGTTGTTATCAATGGAGGTGAAATAATGGTAAGATTATGTTACAAGGAACTGAGCCTTAAATTGATTGTAATTTGTTTAACAATTATAGGTTTGTTTCATACTCATTTAAATTCCAACTGTTTATACAGATGTTGATACATCTAAATGTTTATATATCATTACCCATCACCAACATTGGTCTGTTCGGCAGTTCCGTGGAATTAAGACTTCAGATGCAGGAAGGTACACATGTACAGCCACCAACAGTGCAGGCACAACAATGTCCTCCGCTGAAGTGATTGTCAATGGTTAGTTCTATGTTTCATTCAATATGATCTACTAATGACTAACAATTGTTTTATATATGTGTCATATCTTCAGTTTTTATTCAAAGATGCAGCTTATACAGTTCCAAAATATGGCATTAATATAATACATAAAATTTCTATGTATATAATGCCAATAATAGATATTCTTCACGTCCTTAGATATTGTTTATATAGTTGAATGGCAAATGTTGTTTTAAATGTTTCCATAACTAGGGGAGTTAAATGTTATAGGGGTGAGATAGTAGGGAGGGATTGTGTCTTTGACAGCGCGGGACCCACACTGCAGTGTCACTTGATGGCCTTTTTACTTTCTTGACCTCATTAGCTTTTCAGTTTTGCAATTATCTTCCATTATCTGTCTTTCTGAGTTTTCCTGTTTCTTTTCCTCAATATTCTCACTTGTACATGCTTGCTGAGGCAATTCTCATTTCTTACTTTGTAAGGAAGTGTTACATATTTGTTCACCCTTGCACAGTACATTTTGTGTCTTACGGTCTATAAAACTTAAGTGCATTAGGCTTTTTGTACTCTATCACTCCACATTTCATTCCATTGCCTCATTTTTTCCTCACTTCTTTCACTCGTGCTACATAGTCTCCCCAGCTTGGTGCCTTTATTTAATAATTACTTCTTTCATTCATATCCCATCTCTCATATGCTTTATCCTTGCTGTGCACATCCCACATACTTTCATAAGCTGCTTTTTCTTTTTAGATCTAATTTTCACTGGTTATAGTGTTGATTAGTCTGTCTCTTACCGTTCCCAAGGATTGCTTCCATATCTCAGGGCTAGGAGTAGTATACTGTACTATCTGTGTCCTTTTTAACGCCTTCTTTTATTACATAATTTACCTTTGCTACTACTCCTCTCTCACTCACTAATCTCTCTAATTTAACCTCCTATGCTCAGAATCTAACCCCTGCCCTCACGTATTTCAAACTTAATACCTCTTTTAAAAGGAAAGTTATTTAGTGAAAGACTGAATCGAGGTGGAGAAAGTATATTGGGCCATCAAACTGTACTTCATTGGGAATGGGGGGTATATATATATATTCTTATTCCATGGGCAGTTGAGGTCAATTAGTCTTAATTCATAAAATTTTTAACTTTCAGTGTACTCAGTTTTGCCATTTTTTACAAGGATGTACGAGTTCTGTATTATTTTCATTCTATTTTCATACCTTATAATACTTCTTACATGCCACATAAAGGAACACTTCCTCTTGTTGGGGAAGAAGACCTCGAGGAACTCCTGTCAGCTAAAGGTTCTGGTTATCTAACAGTTTCAGCATGTTCTTAAGAGCTTTGTTTGTACTCTCTGTATATGTTAAGGACTTGTTTACATCATATTTTATACTCTACTGTATGTATATATTTTTTGTAAACAAACAGCATGTTTTCCGTACTGTATATTTTTTTTGAGGAGGGAAATCATTAGAAATATTTTTATTGCTCCAGTAACCAAGCCTGCGGACAAGCCTGAAGTAGTTCCACTGAATCCTACCAAAATTCCTAACCAAAATTTTGGTGGTATTGGGGTCACTCAAGATTTTGTTTATGAATATTCTGGGGAGGATGATAGTGATTCGTCTTCAACTCCCGATGAAGGCTTCTACCTGAGCATGGGAGCGGAATTATCCTGTAAATTTGAATGCCCAGACCACCAGACTATATGTCTTACTGACTCTCAAATGTGTGATGGGAAAACAGATTGTCCAGATGGTTCGGATGAACAGGACTGTCTGTTTGATGACCTTATGGCAAGTTAGTACCTGCCTTGTAGTGTGGTTTCAAACGTGTTTTCCTTTTATTTTTTGGTGTGTTATTTTTTGGTGTGTTAAGTGTGGCAGGGTCATCCATGTTTTATGTATTCTGAACTGATTACAGTATTTGCTTATGTGTGTGTTAATATGAAAATAAAAATGTGTTATTCTTTGTCAACATTCTGCTAGCTGGTGGTAGCTTAATTGTACATATTTGTTATATTACTTTGAACAATTCTTATCTGCCCTAATAATCATATGGTTTACTTCTATGTAGAATAAACAATTTTCTTACCATTTTCATATAAAACAACATACAGTGGAACACTAAATACTTTTATCTGATATCTTAGACATTTCTTGTCTCTTACTGCAAAACCTGCATACTTTAAACTCTATTCACTGTATTCCTTGAGTCTGGGGCTACACCTACCTAGACACCAGAAAACAGTCATGTTTTTGGGGCTTTGTTGAATATAGTGATAAATTAGAAACATAAGAAGTTGGTAATGGTGAAAATTTTTAACCCCACCTCTACAGCACCTTGATTTTGGTCCTGTTCTTATATTGGGTAGAGTGTTGCTACAAATTATTTGCTTATATTTACAAAGACAGCCATTGAAATGAGCATATAGTGTGTGTGTAATTACATAAGTGTAATTACAGGATGAGAGCTACGTTCGTGGTGTCCCGTCTTCCCAGTACTCTGTGTCATATGACACTTTGAAACTACTGACAGTTTTGGTTATCCACCATTTTCACACTTAACTTGTTCCAACCGTCTACCACTCTCTGTTTGCAAATGAAAACTTCCTAATATTTTCTGTGGAGAGCCCTTTCGGCTCCCCGGAGCTATTCTGGGCTGATGTGTATTTATTAGACCGTGGCAACAGTCAATCGATTGAGTTTTGGCCTACCGGGGACTAGCGCCAGAAGTTGGCCCCCCTCAGAGAGGCATGAGGAGCAATGGCCTATAGACATCCCCGTGTAGTTGTAAACAGTCTATATCTGCCATCTACCAGGTCTGGCACCCATAAAGGTAGGAATCCCAAAACAAACTACAGATTGTGAAAAATTGCTAATCAAAAGCCAAACGAGCAAACAGAACTCCCCAATCAGAAAACAAGCAAACAAGCATAACATCACCACAGCCGCCGTGCCGCTGTCTGTGCAAATCACCGAGTGGGGGAAGGAGGGGGGGGGTTCCAGACCTCTCGCACCAGCTGCCCAACCCCAGTTCAGAGGCGGTTGTGTTTGGTGGTGGCCAATCGAATCTGGCTCCATTTTTTTGAGCAGTGCTGGGTCGTCTCTCGGCTGGGGCTTTGTGACCAGTGCTCACCAGGCCGGCCGGGGACGGTGGAGTCTGTCCTTCTGTTGGGCTCACAGCATTGTTCGGGATTTCACGGCTATCTGGTTTGCACTTTGGAGGGTTCAGGTCACTTGGGGCTCTCCCGTCCGGCTCCATTCGGACCGTTCTCTGGTGGTTACTTGCCGGAACTGCGGGGGTTCTCTTTGATCTTTGCCTCTTTGGGGTTGGTCCCTTCGAGTGGCTCGTCTGCTGGACTGGCTCGTCTCGGCGACAGTATACAGTTTCCTGATGTTTCTTTTTGCTTTTTTCTCTTCGTAGGTTGTCTTCTCTTTCGCATCGAGTTGTGTTGTCATTTTTTGTTTTTTCAGGACCGTTCTTTGATGCTTCTTACTGTCGTCTCGTATCGTGCGGCACTGGCAGAGCCGCTCCAGCTTGCTTTCTGGGTGGACTTCACATCTGCCACGTTCTGTATGCTTTCTCGTGCCTTGTTTCACCTTCGGCATGCTCATGCGCCGCCTGAGCCGTCCTGGTCCTTTCCCTCGTTCCCTGTTTCAGGGCTCGGGTCGCCCAGGCCATCTGTAGGGTTTTTAAGTCTAATGGCCTGCGGTCTATCCTTGCGCCCGTGCCATTTGGACATTGGCAGCCATGTTTGGTAACATGTCTTGGGCTCATTTCGGGTGCGGGGATTTGGAGGTCGCACAGGTTGCTGGCCACCCGATATTTTGTGAGCATGTCTGCTCCTGGGTGTTCTTGTGTTGCTTTGGGTCGCAGGTTGCTGCCTGTTGTCTCGACATCGCGTTGAGCAGTTTGTGGCGGCCGCCTCCCGGGTCAGCCCTTTCTTACTGTCGTCTCGTATCGTGCGGCACTGGCAGAGCCGCTCCAGCTTGCTTTCTGGGTGGACTTCACATCTGCCACATTCTGTATGCTTTCTCGTGCCTTGTTTCACCTTCGGCATGCTCATGCGCCGCCTGAGCCGTCCTGGTCCTTTCCCTCGTTCCCTGTTTCAGGGCTCGGGTCGCCCAGGCCATCTGTAGGGTTTTTAAGTCTAATGGCCTGCGGTCTATCCTTGCGCCCGTGCCATTTGGACATTGGCAGCCATGTTTGGTAACATGTCTTGGGCTCATTTCGGGTGCGGGGATTTGGAGGTCGCACAGGTTGCTGGCCACCCGATATTTTGTGAGCATGTCTGCTCCTGGGTGTTCTTGTGTTGCTTTGGGTCGCAGGTTGCTGCCTGTTGTCTCGACATCGCGTTGAGCAGTTTGTGGCGGCCGCCTCCCGGGTCAGCCCTTTCTTTTCCTTCTCTTTGGGTCCCTGAACTTCCAGGACACATACTGGCACATCCTGATTCATCTAAGGTTCAGGGACTGGCTCGGTTTCGTCATGGGGCGGTGAACTTGCTACTTTCGTTGGCTTCCATTCGGCTTGAATCTGGCACCTCGCGTGTTCACATGCTTTACGCAGGTCGTGGTGACCCATTTGCTTCTGTTAGGGGTTTGGGTTCTGGCTTACCTTGACGACTGGCTGGTCTGGGCTTCCAGCCGGTCTGCATGTCTGCTTGCCAGGGATTTGGTTCTTTCCCTGCTCGCTGGGTTCAGGTTCTTGATGAACTGGAGGAAGTCCCATTTGGTTCCCTCTCAGGTTCAGACTTCGCTGGGTTATGTGTGGGACTTTAGGACTGCTTCCTTGCCTCTCCTTACAGCGGCGTTGGTTTGGCTGCAGTCCTGCTTTTGGCTGTTTTTGGAGGGCGCCCGTGATCACTCGTCGGTTGTTCAAGCAGCTGTGCAGGAGTCTGAACTTCGCCATGCTGGTCTACCTGTCGGGTTGGATCTGGCTTCAGCGGCTGTTCTGGTTCCTTCGGGGACGTCCCTTCTGCTGCTCTCACAATCGCTAGGTTTGGACCCCGGAGGTCTTGTGTCGGCTGCTGCGTCGCTGGTTTCCTCTGGGTTTTTCGGGGTTCAGTGCCGTGGTGCCTTCCCGACCCCTTGCTCGATATGTTCATGGATGCGTCATCTCTGGGTTGGGGTTTTGTGACCAATGCTCACCAGTCCGGCCAAGAACGGTAGGGTCTGCCTTTCCGTCGGGCTCACAGCATGGTGCGGGAGTTCGTGGCGGTGTGGTATTTATTCACTTTGGAGGGTTCAGGTCACTCACGGACCGACGATTCGGCTCCATTTGGTCTACTCCCTAGTGATTCATTGCCTGAACTGAGGGGGTTCAATGTGGTCCTTGGCTCTTTGGGGCTGGTCGCTTCGGTTGACTTGTGCTCCGAGTTCTCGGTGCTTGGCTCTCCTGGCAGTTCACATTAAGGGGGTGTCCAGCATCCTGGTGGATAGCCTGTCCCGGTTCATTCCCCTTTCCACGAAATAGATGGTCAACGCCGACTCCTTCCATTGGCTCTGTCGGACATTCGGGTGCCCGGATGTGGGCTTTGTGTCAACTTCACCAAGGAGTCTTCTGGTATATGCGGCGCCCTTTCCCGACTGCGAGGCTGTCGAGGTCGATGCCTTTTGACTGGACTGGTCGAGGTGGGTTAACTATTCCTCTTCCCACCATTTCAGTTGTTGCTCCAAATCCTGGCTCGCTTGGAGACTTACCAGGGTAGGGTAGTCCTGTTGGCCCCCTGGGTGTCCGGCCCAGCCCGGTTTTCAGTCGTTTGGTGCTCAGTGTCTGAACCCGAGGGTTTTCCCACGGCTCCGCCTCTTTCAGCAGATTGGTCCAGTCCGGTAAGTGGCTTGTTCGATCCTCCTCCGCTCTTCGCGTCTGGTCATTTTGACGTGGGTTTATAAACATTTGTATGGTGATCAGGTGGCTTTGTTGATGGTGTCCCACCTGCGAGTTTTGTCTCAGCGGTAGTATGAAGTTTCCTGGTGGTCCTTTTGGCACCTTTTGTCTCTTCGTAGGTTGTCTTTGATTTCTGAGCGGTTTGTTTTGTCGTTTCTCTCTCTCGGTTAGTGTACCGTCATCTTATGCCGAATACTGTTACTTCATATTTTGCATCGCTGGCGGAGTCGTTTCTGCTTGTGGTTGGGGTGGATGTCACTTCTCCTTTGTTCTACAAGTTTTCTCAGGAGTTGTTTCACCTCCGGCCTGCTCATGCACTGCCTGAGCTGTCCGGGTCTTTAGAACGGGTGCTCTCTTTTCTCTCTTCCCCTCAGTTTGTGGTGGTCCCTTCAGTTCAGGACTGTTTTTCCAAGACTCTTTTCTTGTTGGCAATGGCCTTTGGGAGTCGCGTCAGGGAGCTTCATGCTCTCCACTGGCGCAGGGGTTTCTGCTCTTTTGGTCCTGGTGGTCGGTTTGTTCATTTGCAATTGTCTCCTTCTTTTCTGGCAAACAATGAGACTGCTGCATTCCAGAGGGGTCTTTGCATTGTTGATGCTTGGATGGTTCGGCTGGGGGTGCATCATGTTTTGAGTTCAGTTGCAGCTCTTCACCATTCCTTGCATGCCTCGGCCTCCGTGGCAGGGGACACGCTTTGGGTTGACCCAGTTTCCCTTCTTCTCTGTTCCTGGGCACAGGTCTTCCAGGTCGTCTGCAGGATTATTTGGTCTGGTCAGCCTGCGATCTATCCCTGTGCCCATGACATTTGTAAGTTCGTGGTTTTGACTGATTTTTTTGGTAATGTCCTGGGGTGACATTCGGGCATGGGGCTTTTGGAGGGTGAACATAGTCCTGGCCACATGATACCTCGTTCA